AATTTCTGACCTCGAGGTTAAATCAGTTAGCACATAGTGTCGAGCCATTAACCCAGATCGAGATAAGTTCTCTTCTGTATATTATTGGATAGACAGATCAAGAACGTATCGATACCACTGTACTGCCTACTGACGCATACACAAAAAGTTTTCTACAAAATTTTGGCCTGAAAAGCTGCCTTACACAGCCGTAATATACACGTGACTTGAGCTCTATCTAGTGATTAGTATTAAAACGATACGTCAGTTGGCCACGAGAAAATTATATAATGGGGAGCTTTTCGAACTTCTTATAGTTTACTTTTTGTCAATCTAACAATTTTCACATTGCGCATCTTATTAGTTCACCGGAATCTTATTGATCTACCTGTCATGTTACATAAGTAGGATAGTTCTTACATTTTTATGCTCCTGTACCTTCCAGTACTTCACAAGCCCTAATCTTAATGTGTTTCGAATAACCTATTGTTTTGTTCAGAACCCCATAATTTATCCAGTCGTTTCCTTTCGTAACAGTGTATGATAAGACATTTGACCTACTATCTGGATACTATGGTTGTGTAACATTGTCATTTTTATGGTAGGGTATTCCAACAAGGTGTGCCTGAAGTAGACCACTGTGTTCGTTCAAATTGCTGCCGTGCACGAACCTAGCATCAAAAAGGGGGCAGAGAGGAGTTCCTGATCGCGTAACATGATAGCGAGGCAGATACCTTAAAAGTGCCCAAATCAAGAGCGGTGGCATACTGAAACCAATAGGTTTTGTGTTCACGTCTGCATTTTCACTGTGAAAAAACAAAAAAGCGTGCTGAAGTTGTATAAATGGGAGTAGAACATCTGTGTGTCATCTCGTTATTTCTTAAGGTTCGTATAACTGATTTTGGTATAGGGATTTTCAGCGTAGTCTTCCTGTTATGCTGGATATCTAGAAAGGCTCGTTTTAAGATTATTATTTATATGTCAAGACCGCTCACGATTTGAAAACGAGTATATGCCTTAAAGTCATCCAGGTTGTATAAAGATATGAATAACAAGGGTCTGACTATAACAGGCTTAGTAGGGTGAATGAGGTTTGTAAACCGAGTCACGTAGGAGACTAGATCCAGATCTATTAAATAAGACAAGCGGCTTACACGTTTTCCAGAAGATCGAAAGGTCACATCATAAACAAGCTTGGCTACAGTGTATCAAGCGTCGTTTTTCACTTCTCTACAAATCCCGAGTAGGACAGATGGAGGTGAATCGGTTCATGTTTACAACCTGAAGGTAGCTTCACAACTATCAGTCAAACCCGTTCCTCACGTCAATAACAATTGAATCATCTGGTTCGTGGAAAACGACTGGTTGTTAGTGGTACATGTGAGGTAGCATGTTGTAAGAATAACTCTAGAAATGGGTTAGTGACTATAGGGAGAATATACCGTAGTCCATGTTGCCTTGCTGACAACTTTATCCTAAGACACATCCGTTCTTGGAGTATGGCAGAATGTTGTCTCATCATTGGGGACTTCAACGCACCGCATATCAACTGGATAGAGCTTACAGCTCCAGGTAGTGGTTTCGATAGCGACCTTTCACCTACCGTTATTCAGTGTGAACTTGTACAATGTATCACAAAACCGACACATATTGATTTGCAACATGATCCGTCACTGCTGGACCTCGCCCTCACCCACCACTGTGAGAATGTCTTTGATATCCAGCACCTTCCTCCACTAGTGAACAGTGATCACGTTGTAATTCACTTTAAGTTTAGGACACATGGTATACAATTCGTATCTGCTCCACCCCGTCCCAATATCTGGCGAGCTAATATTCCGGAAATCAGAAACTGTGCTATCTCGACCGATTGGTCGGTCGACGCGGATGGATCGATCGAAGATGAATGGAATAAGTTTAAGGCTACATTCGAGTCCGTAACGTCGCCGTTTATCCCATGGTCAGCACGTAAGCTATCACATTGTTCTCCATGGATTATTAAGGAAACCCAGCTGTTAAAACGTAGGAAACTCTTCTGGGACTCATTCTTGTTGACATGTCATGCAACATTTAATCGTGAGTACCAAAAATTCCGGAACATTTGTAAGAAAGCCATAGCTAAATCCCGTACTATTTACGAACGACAGTTGGTATACGATAACCGTACTCGTCCGAAACGATTGTTTTCGTATGTTAAACGGCGGACGAAACGTACTGATGGTATTCCCCCATTACTGTCACACGAAATTCAGATTTACTAGCTGAATCAGATCGGGCAAAAGCTGAGACTTTTTCAAACTATTTTAGCGAAGTCTACTCTACGTTTATTGTAGCAAATACTTGTCCCACTCACACCGAGATACCAGCCATTGAATCTGTACAGGTGACTGAGGAAACTGTCCTTCCGTTGATAACTAACCTCAAACCTGGTAAGACACCGGGCCCTGACGGATTACATCCACGGCTGCTGTCATCTCTTGCAGACATTATTTCAAAACCGCTTGCGACACTCTTCAACATGTCCCTTTCACTCGCTCAACTCCCCAGAGATTGGAAAGACGCTATAGTCAGTCCTATACTTAAGGATGGTCAGAGACAGATTGTATCTGAGCTGAATGGTTTAGTCGTTGGGCTTTCATCGTTCTTCTGAACGACATCATCAGCACAAACTTCAGATAGAAGTGAAGTGTTTGAATTTCTCCATATGCGTTTCAAAGCTTGTTCTGTACACCTCGATGTTGATCGTATCTAACTACCGGCCTGTCGGTCTAACTAGCATTGTCGTTAAGTTGCTTAGAAAGATAATTCGGGTTAGGTTGCTAAGCCACAGAGATTCACAAAATCTGTTAGCTCCTGAGCAACATGGATTTCGTAACAAGGGTCCATGCTTGACTAACTTATTGCGAGAGAGGATTGGACAGCAGTCTTAGATAAAGGCCTGTCTGTCGATGTGATATTCATAGATTTTAGCAAAGCGTTTGACAAGGTTTCACACTTGGGTCTTATGCAGAAGCTCGCGAGCTTCGGAATAGTAGGTACTGTACAGTAGTGGGTAGGTAACTTCTTATGTGACCGCAGAGAGAGTTAGGGTCAACGGAACGCTATCCGATTGGAAGCCGGTCAGAAGTGGTGTACCCCAAGGCACCATCTTAGGCCCTCTGCTCTTCCTTCTCTACGTTAATGAGTTACCGCTGTTACTTAGGTCGTCGACATTATTGTTTGCGGATGATGTAAAAATCTGGAGAACAATAAAAAGTGCGGCTGATCATCTGGATCTTCAATCTGACTCAGACGATTTAGTTGGATGGGCTCGAGAGTGAGGGTTAGAAATCAATGCTAGGAAGAGCGTGGTAATGCACATCGGTCACGGCAATAGTTACCATTATACTATTGATTGCAAACCTCTTCCATGCGTTCAAGAGCATAAAGACTTAAAGACAACTATTATTATTAATGGCTTTATTATATTTTGGTACAATATAGAATTCTCAGCACGCATTGCGACGCAACCTTTGTCAAAGGTTTTCGTGCGCTGTGGTTACTTCGCCGAGCGTTCAAATCTTTTGACGAGGAAATGTTTCGAATTTTATATCCCACATATGTTAGACCAAATTTAGAGTACTGTATCCAAGCAGCTAGCCCATGTCTGGTAAAGGATACTAACTCACTTGAGCGTGTCCAGCGTGTGGGAACGAAATTAGTGAAGGGTCTTTCTAGACACCCTTACGATGAGCGTTTAAAACGCCTAAACCTTTCCCCTTGTCGTATCGTAGAACACGAGGCGACCTTATACTGGCATTTCGTATCTTTAATTATGATTTGGGTGTTAATATGTCTTATCTGTTTGCTCCCTCCAGCACTAATAATCTCCGAGGTCATAGCAATAAGGATCTAATAAACTCAAAGTGGGGTCTCGTTTTTCTCATGGAGTAGTCAATGATTGGAACGCCTTACTCGAACAAGTGGTAGCAGCCCCATCAGGGAATATTTTCAAGGAGAAACTTGACCTTCACTGGAAGGCAATCTGTCAGGATTAACACAGGTTCACCAACCTACTATTTTTATTACTGAAGACTAAAGACTGATGAATGGGTTTTTTAGGGTTGGGTTGGCGTTACCCTACCTTTTCTCTTCTTTCAAATGTTTCGTTTGTGCCAATGTTTTATCATTCGTACTAGCTGGGATAATGACTCGAGGGCTAGTTTGGAACTTCAGAAACAATTTACGCACTTCATCCGAAAGTAGGAAAAGTCTCATAAATCTCTTTTATTTTTACATTTCATACCCCCATGCTTCTTCACACATTTGGATTTTCATTGTCAGAGTTCCAGATGCATCAGGTGGTTTGTCATTATTGAGTAACTGGTCTGGAGTGAGTGTTGTATGATGTATTGATATCAAATTTTACAGGACCATATTAACCAGACATTGAGCCTGTTTTCTGAAATGCTCATCCTTTCATCATGAAAATTTGGTGCAATGAGTGGAGGTTCTTCAACCTCATAAATCAAGAGGGAATTGGTAGATTCTGTACCAGTTCGAAAGCCGATTTTAATAACATTTGAAGGCGTTAGTTAAGTGCATGTTTTCTAGTACCACTCATCAGAAATTACACACCATGTTTTCCCGCCCAATCAGGAAATAACAGCCTAATCTACCTCAGCAATTATTCTTTTCGAAGTCGCGTAAACAAAATTCCCTTCACGAAATATATCGAGCATAATACAAAATGAAAAAGCGTGTGGGATGATCGATGATGGGTAGAAGTCAACATAGATGTCTACGTTAAGAAATACAGGACTGATTTTTATTCATGATGCTCAACAAAGTCTATATGACTTTGTGTGTGAAAAACAACAGTCACTCAGAAGTAGAACAAAGAGCTCAATCGGTTTTAAAGGAGGATAAAAATGAGATTGAACTTCATTTTTTAAAATTCATTCCTGAACTTACCAAGTTTCAGAGTATTGGAACATTGTTTGAAACTTGTTTGTCCGCACTCACCATAGTTTCGCCATTAAATGATGAGTGAGGACATCGATGTGTCTAAGCTGAAAGTACCAGAGTTGAGAGCCGAGTTAGGTAGGCGTGGTCTCAATACTTTCGGGACAAAGCAAATTTTAATGGATCGACTAAATGATGCTCTCAAATCGGCATCGCCTAATCTTGACAAGAAACAACCGGCAGGTACGATAGTGAAGTCATATGTCTCAATTATTAGACTCTGAGGAACAACCCCACCTGGCGTCTACGAATCTTTCGAGGCAACCGAGTCAAAACTCAGGACGTGATGTGCTGGATTCAAGTCCTAACATGTCCCCACAGCGTGGGTGTGAGAACGGGGTAAGTGATTCATGTCCGTTTGTAATTTTGTTAGTTAGTGAATGAAAAGGATAGTAGTCCAGGTAATCAACATCAAAAACCAGACCAAGAAAACCTCAAGCGTAGGCGCTCACCATCACACTCTCCCCGCCGTAGATCTAGGTCTCGAGACAGGGACTCTCGCAGGTCACCCCGTAGACGTTCCAGGTCTCCACAGGTCAAATCTAAAATGGTTCCGGAACCAGATAATTGGGAAGAAAGCGTATCTGTTTTCTTAGATACTTACAATTGTGATTTAAACCTCATAATCGATGCTACCGGCTCTCAGGCAAAACCTCTGACAGAGGGTGGTTTCTCACTAATGTGGGCTGGAGCAAGAGCAAACTATGGCTCAATATCTGGGAAGGTAAGTGTTGATGTTTCGCTTATGTCGTAGTCATTTTTTGAAGTGCGGGTAGTGAAAAATCTCCCTGTTGAAAACTATGACAGTTTGGTCGGCGGATCAACTCACGTACTACGAGTTGGCTGGTCTACGGAAGACACCGATTTCACTCTTGGCGAAGAGCCTCAGTCTTTTGGCTATGGAGGTACGGGAAAAAAGTCTACAAACAACAAGTTTACTGACTATGGTTGTACATTCGGAGAAGGTGATGTCGTTGGTGCTTTCATCGTAAGTTGTTTATTTATCTCATACTTCAGGAATGGACAAATGTTGAAGCTCTGTTAAGGTTTAGTGTTAATGGTGTGGACCAAGGGGAGTGCTTCCGTGTTCAAAAGTCGCAGTTAGGAGAACGTTGTGCTTTGTTCCCGCACGTCTACGTGAAGAACGTTGAGTTTGCCTGCAACTTCGGGCAAGAAAACCAGTCTCCTTGGTTTAGTCCTAATATCCCATCTGGTAAGCTTCAGTCGTTTAATTTTGTTTTCAAGTAACTAAACAGTCGGTCTCATAAAAGTATGCGATTCACATTAAGGGTTTGGTTGTGAAGTTTAATTGATTGTCTGCGGGGTGTTGCTACACACTGTCCGGTCGCTAGTTTTAGCGGTTCATGTATCTGATAAATGCCACGAATTCGTGGACTTTCATTCAAGCTACTTGTTGCGTGTGACCTAAGTGCACTTCCTAGTCATCCAAACTTGGGTAGGTGCCAAGACTCGCGTTTACCACCAAGACAGGTCATTTTATGGGTAGAAGTCGCTGTATGATGTAGTTCATCAGACTAAGTGTTTTAAAAACTTACTGTCCTCCGTTCCCTGAACTTTCAGAACTTAGTCTACCGCCACTTTCGCTCATAGATGTAGAATATGTAGTAGTCCTATTTAAAAAGCACTGATGAAGGTTAAGTCTGAATTGCTGTAAGTAACAGTGTGAACACTAATGACTGACTGACCACGTTTATGATCCGGTTGCAGATTGCACAACTCTCTGGATTTGTGTGCTAGGTTGAGACACAGTTCTCAACTAGTTTTATTGTTTATCAGGAACGTGAACTGATATAATGCACTGACAGCTCGTGCCCCCAAGGTTTTATGACACCAGTAATAAGACCTGTAGCTGAAGCGCGGAATTTTCCTGCTGTATGTGAAATCCTAAATGGCCTGAATTGCATCATTGCCATCTTCCCTGCTTCTGTAAATCCAAGTCTTCATTGCGTACCTCAAATCTGTCGTCCTCACCCTTGAGTGTACGTCACTTGTATCGTACCGACGTACCAAGTGGTCTGCGTTTTGCTTATTCTATATATTGAAATGGATGAATTGTCTTGTGTGACAAGACATACTTCATCACCCTCTAAACAAGTGCTTAAGTATCATTAGTTTAAAAATAATAATCACAACTCAATTTGGTCCCAATTTTGGGCTTTTTCGGCTTGTGCGGAAAGGTAATCGAGTTAATAAAGCAAAACAGTATGACTTTTATGCTGCTAGCTCTCTAAGCCCAAACTTTATTAGGTAGCATATCTTAAAGAGCTTTCTTCTAGTTAATTCCAAAAGTCGACGTTTAACTTCAGTAAATTGACATAAACACACCACTGGGAGTTATACTCTGCCATGAGTGCATATAATCTCTACCACATCCTCTGCACAAATGTCAAACCTTATAACAGAATCTTTATTAAATGCCTAAATTCCACCTCAAGGTTGTGCACGATTCTTAGTCTTATGAACCGCCAGCCGATTCAGTTTACGATTGATGATACTAAAATACATGTTTTCCATCTTAAAAATAAAATTACTTCGGATCTGATTCTCATCAATTTTAAAATGTAAGTTGGTTCAAAACATTGCAGATGTAAAGTTCTGCAATTAGGCTTTCCCAATCCTAAGTGGTTCAATTTTTATTCACTGATCACTATTAACTAAAATACCTAAAGATAAAAGTAAATGGTGCATGTCTCAAAGCATTGATAATTAAATGGATGGATTCGTGGTACAGTTTGCCAGCGAGCCAATGTCGAATGTCTCCAACTACCAACATCCGAATAGAAGTATTGTACTGTACGTTTACTGTGTAAACAAATCAGGTAAGACCTGTAAATCTAGCTCTCTCGTTTCCAAGGAATACTTCGAGCGTCAGCTAATCAGTCTTCGCCACCGTGGGAAGGTTGTTGGTAATCACAAAAAGATAATTATTAGCTACTTTCTCTTGTAAGCGCTTACTGGTTTTTCTTCGAAGAAGTGATTCTTCATTCAACTAGTGACAACGTGTGATAGACGGACCTTTTAGTTTACTAGGTTTTTCGTCAATTTACTAATCGACTGATCCACCCTTCAGAATGTATTAAGTGAGCTTTCCAACATGACAAACTACGATTAGGCCTAACAGTTACGACCTATACATCAGAAAATAAGCGACCTATGAAGTTGCGATTGGCCAGTCATTGATGACAGTTAATTATGTGGGTTCCTCTTAATGCTAATAATCCAGGCATGTTATCTTAAGACAAAAAAAACGTACACAGGCTAGTAGTCTCATCGTTGGTCCTCAGTCAATCAGCTGAATTCGTCGATAATTCGGTCTTGTGAGCAGCCATCACTCGGACACAAAGTGTCATCTGTCAATAACCACCATTTTTCTTTCACCGATGTAAAATCCTTTCAATGAGGCATAAAATTCTGCTCCATAACACGTGTTTACTTTGTTCTTATGTGTATTCACGATTCTTTGTAAATTTATTTAATTTTCCAGATGATCCTTTATCTTGGCAACAAATAAATTGTCTACCCCTATCATGTCGCGTACATGGTCGCTGCCCACCTCAATCAAAGTCTGAGTGTGAAGTGATTATGATGGTAGGACTACCGGGAGCAGGAAAAACGTATTTCGCTGAGCAACAGAAAACAGAGCATCGTGAAAAGCAATATAATATACTAGGAACCAACCTTATTTTAGATAAGATGAAAGTAAGTCCTAACCAAGTAAACGTGTGGATTTATCCACTTGTGTATAAAAAACTCATACAATTTGTTATTTTAGGTAATGGGCATCGCACGACAACGTAATTATCACGGGAGATGGGATGTTTTGATTGACAAATCAACGAAGTGTTTAAACACACTTATCAGTATGGCGTGTATGCGCCGTCGTAATTACATTTTGGATCAGGTCAGTTATTTCTCATAGACACTAATTTAATGGTATCAGTAGATTTTCTAAAGTTATAGTATTCCCAAGGGATTTCAATACATTAAATTAGTGGACGAGTCGTAGGGGTTAATCGTAGACATTTCTAGTTTTCTGTAATGTATTTTAAGGTATTAAATTTCTTACCAATATGTATTACAAGTTTGTTTTTATTGTTAATTATCAATTTGTGCTTATGAACTATATGTTTTATTTATTAAACTGTACTCAGTGGTCTCCGTTCTAAGATACCCCATATGAGCACTGGTCGAACAGCTGTTCAAACTAAATGTACCGATGTTCTTGATCAGTTTGCTCGAATGATGGTTTTCTTAGATTGGTTCTGCTGCAATAGACTAATTTGGCGAAGTACATGTTAATGAACATGTATAATTTTGTCCGAATTTACATGCAAGGTACCTTACTTGCTTTGCATTTTTGGTATGTACCTTGCAACTGGATTTGGTCCATCGTACAAATGCGCACAATTATCTATTCCTGGTGGTGGCACTGATATAACTTCGTTTTTTCTCTCATTCGCTCGGTTCCATCTCCTGAACCTAATCACAGACAAATGTGTACCCGTCAGCACAGCGCCGTAAAATGCGTCCATTTGAAGGTTTCAAGCGAAAGGCCATTGTTATCGTTCCTACTGACGAAGAATTCAGGCGGCGAATTGCCCAACGGGAAAAAGAGGAGGGCAAAGAAGTGCCTGAAACTGCAGTTCTCGAGATGAAAGGTAGTTTTCTTTGTTGGAAATGGTGGTATAAAGTCCTGCAAGTTTTCCTTGGATTTACTTTTAATGAATCTGCGTTCTATTTTATACTTGGGTCTAATTGGTAAATCCTATTGTACTATTTTGATGAATACTTAAGTGCTTACAAATTTGTTTGCATTCATTTAGTATTTGTTGGAACAATAATCGTTCTGTAATTGGTAGTATGTAAATATGTATCTATTTAGAAAGGAATACAGTTCTTTCGATAGTTAATCTTCGAAGTTTCCATCATAGAAATGCAATTGTATGGGCTGATACAATCCGGAATCCCTGGTAGTTTACAGATAAGTCTCAGCTAGTTATTTGTTTTTGTGTGACCTGTAGTTACTCGCATCAAGAGATAGCAGCTGTCTGGTCTTATGTTGTAGATGACTGACTGAGCTGCCATGAGTCCGTCACTTGACCTTGTGTTTTCAATTCATAGTGTTCACTGGGAATGGCGGTCGGAGTCAAACTTGCTGATTTCTTGCTTTCTCTAGACTGCGAGTAATTATGGGTTTCTCAATTATTTTAGTGTTTATTCATGTTGAGTATTTGTATTTGTTTCCCACCCAGGTTCTGACCAATTAAAACTAACTATAGCTTAATGTACCGTAGGGTCGGTATTTTCTGTCCTTTTTAGCGATAGTTGAAATCACAGTAAAATCTGATTTGACTTTATTCATCCACCTTTTTAAGCATGTCAATTGAATGTGGAATTTTTTATTTCTCCAGTAAACAATAGCTAAATTTCCCTTTCAAACCATAAAAAGTCAGTAGACTCATCACAATGTGACAGTTACAAAATGATCCTACCAAACTGTACGTACTATTACCAAAAAACAAGCATTTGTTAATCGTTCACAATACGCTACCCGGGAAAACAACGTGGTTCTCTACTACTCAAGCGTCTAGGTTATATTTCGTCGATCGAAAGTAAACCTAGCGAGTGATTACTGATCTGTTGTTCGAATATATTTAAATAAAAGACACGGTTACTTTCATTTACTTGTTTCAATTTATATGCTGTTTTAGATTTTTTCCTTGTAAACGATTTCATGTTCCAGCTAAGTCAGAAGGAATAATTTTTCTCTTTCAGCAAATTTCGGGATTCCTAGACCTGTATCTGAAGATCCCTCTAGCGTTTTTGATGAGGTTATCTTTACCGAACTTGGTCTGGATGATGTAAAAGTCCTAGTTGCTCAATACAATCAAGAAGGACAGGCAAACAGGCAGCCACCGGAAAAGCGCCAACGTTGGGATGGTGGGAACCGTGACCGGGATGACTCACGTAATTCACGTTTCCGCGGACGGGATAGCCGAGATCGTGGTCGTGACATGCCACGTGGACGACGTGATGATTTTCGAAGCTCTCCGAACCGCCGGAATGATGATCGTGGTCGCCGTGACTACAGGTAAAAATTGATGTGGTTAGGAGTAAACGTGATGTGATTTAGTGATTCCAGGCTTCTCAACAATTTCTCTTTATCTTTCAGAGGTGGTTACAATGCCTCCCGTGATCGTAGTCGTGAGGGAGATCGCTTCGATCGTAGTAAGTGACAGTTGTTGATAACAGTTTAAGATTCATTACTTATTCGGTCTCTTCATAACACTTTGTTTTCCCCTGCGTTTTTCAAGATAGCGACCGAGAGTCGTTTGGTCGTCAGCCCAGTGGAAGGTATGGCGGTGGTCCTCCTAGTGGTCGTTTCGGGGCTCCGAATCGCGGACCGTTCCCAGGTGGGATGTCTGGCCCGGGTGGTTTTGGAGGTTTCGACAGTTCTCGCGGTGGCATGATGAGGAGTAATCCTGCAAGAGGCGGGTTTCCGGCACCGAATTTTGATTCGCGTGCTGGACGGGGTGCTTACCGTGGTTCTATGGACCGGGTGAACCCAGGTTATGGTGGACCAAATGACCCAATGTACAGTCGCTTTGATGGCAATGCAGGTGATGGAGAGCCAATTGGCAACGCCTATGATATGAACGAAGCCTCACTTTCTCAGCCGCCGTATGAAGGTACGTTATCTCTTTGATTATGCTGCAACACATTCCCATCATTTTGCCCACCATTTATATCTCTACATATGTATATTTCAGGTGGCCCAATGAGTGGAGGCTTTAGAGGAGGGTACGGAAGTGGTGGCCGCGGTGTTCAAATGCAGGGATCTCGTGGAGCCCCGGTCGTGGTGGAACGTCAATGGGACGTGGAGCAATCGCTCCAGGACGTGCAGCTAATACTGACAGGGGTGTTGACCGTAGTCAACTAGGCCGCAACGCACCCGTTTCCGGTCGTGGTGGTACTCAGCCTGATCGCGACATGATTGGTGGATTTTCCGATGATAGCCAACAGTATAATATGTACGGTGGTGCGGAAGGTTATCAAAACCCGACTGAGGAGCAATATCCAGGGCCACCAAATGATGATTATCGGAACAGACGTTTTGGCGGACCAGGTCCTTACAACGCAAACGCATTGCAAAAGCCTTCTGGTGGTAGTTATTCTGCCTACCAAAGAGGCAATCCCCCGTTCTCCGGTGGTCCAGCAGGATATCCAAATGCACCTGGTGGTGGTTACAATCGAGGAAATCTCCCTTCATATGGGAATCCTAATTCTGCTTCTAGTTATCCCAACTCATATACTGGTGATCAAGGTAATTTCACAAATCCTGGCTCAGATCCTTACAGTGGAGGTATGGCATCAGACAGATCTGGGAGACCTGGAATGCAACAAAATTCAGGTGGTCCTTTTGGAGGATCTCATGCTTATGGTACCAGTGATCCTGATAAAACAACCATGTCACAGAATGAACATTCAAGTACAGATAGTTCTAGTTTGTATGCATCTGGTGCTGCTCGCTATTCCGACAATCACCCCTCTGCTACCAATATCCCTCCCGTTCCTAGACAATCACGTTTTGATGCCAAACCAGAAACTAATACTCCTTCCCAAACAAATGCCTATAATAGCTATCCTTTGGGATCCAGTTATCCAGGCGGATTTACTTCAAATGGTAACCAAAAAGCAACTATCCAACCATCTAATCCTCCCGGCGGTCCTAGAACTGGACGCAGTCGGTTCGATGTTGGACCCCCTGCTTCCCAACCGATCCCTCCAGCTGCCCCCGTACAGAGCACTACTTATAACCCACCATCACAGCCAGTTAATCGACCACAACCTCAAGTACAACAAACTGCAACATCTATCCAGGTAAATTATAAAATTATCCATTCTAGACTATTATTAAACCTGATATTATGATAAGACAGCATTTCCTATTGACTGTGTTGTGATGATTACCAATGCCATTCGCTTACTAACGTTTGAAGAATGTTCATCCTTGCCCTGATAATGTTTATCTTTCTACCTCGTTTATGAAGCTCGTTAATTTTTTTTTCAGCAAGCTCAACCACAAAGTTACGGGTATGGTTATTCTACTCAGAATACAAAACCTGACGGAAGTAGTAATGCAAGCGCCCCTCCCGTTAGTCAATCTTATGGTGCTTACAACTATGGGTACGGATATGGTACATACGGGTCGCAAGCTGCTCAACCATCTGCAACGGTTAGTCGATGTGCACCCACCACTGGTACCACCCAACAGTCACTATATGCCTCAGCTGTTGCTGACAAACCCCAACTAACTCAACAGACAACCGCGCCAGCAGTTTCTTCCGCCGCCACTACTACTGCCACATCTGACCATTCGACACCGGCTGCAGCGGCTTATGCCTCCTACTACTATGGTGCTCCTCAAAGCGCTACAGGAAGTACTCAAGGAGCTGGGAAGTATGATGCAGCGATGGTTGCTGCACAACAATTTAATGCTTGGCAACAACAGCAACAGCCTTCAGCTGTGTCGGGTAGCGTATCCAGTAGCGTCCCAAGTGCTCCAACCGCAACAGTAACGCCACAGACACCAGCCGCAAATCCTTATGCAAGCTATTACCCTGGGTATTCTACTTACCCATCTGGATATGGTACTATCCCAGTTGGCGGAGCTCCTCCAGGTGGGGTCCCAACTGCTGCCGCTCCGCCAGCAATGAGTCAATATTACACCGGTTATCGCTAAAATTGATTTATGAACTTAATTCCTCGTAATACATTTAGTTGAACTCTAATTTGTTTCACATTTCCATTGTGCTATCTTTTTTTGTCTCACTCGTCCTGTCCATTATGCACAAGTGTTACAAATCAATCACTAAAAGTTTTTTATTATATCACAATGGGTTTCGTACAAGTTCATTTGGTTGCAAGTATATGAGCTAAAAATTTATGTCTGTTCTCCAAGCGAGTTCCTTCCATGTAGGAAGCTTGTATGACGTCTGATCGGAAACACGATTCCTTGGTTCTGCATCAATCTCGCTGTTCCACTTTTCACGATATCTTTCCCACCGTGCATCATCTGCACTTGCAGTAAGAAACCGACTTTCATTTGAGAGTGTGGCTTCCAACCGACGCAAGTCGCACCAACATATGTAGTCCTGTCAAAACGATAAAGCTCAGTTTTAGAAATCAAGTTGATTTATTTTAGATTAATAGTTGAGCTAGCGGGTACTTATACCTCCGTAAATTAAATCGCTTTTAGTTGCGTATTGAATGAGCTTACCTGCATCCAAATGTGGTTAAGGCTTCTCTCAACGGAGAATCGGTTTCGCAGACGTACTTGCAGCAAATGTGTTATTAGGTGTATGGCTTATAAGAATACATATATTTCCTAAAATGGGTCTTACCGTCTTCAGATATGTTGTCCCACGGGTCACTCGGATACATAAATTCGGCATTTTCTATCTGTTCGGCTATATCCTCCTCTTCATTAAACGGGAATGTCCCACTAAGACTACCAATTTCAGGCACGTTAACTAGATTCGATATAATCTGATTTACCTTACATAAAGTATCACTCCAACAGACCACATGTCGATCCCTCGGTTGTATCCACGGTTTTTCAGTACTTCAGGAGCTGAAATAAAAAGTGGAGTGTCATATCTGTGTGATCCCATGATCTTTTCTCAAATCTCTAAGACCACCTCTTATGACGACTTAAGTTCTTAACTTACCTAGGTATGCTGGTGTACCAACCAGCGATCGCCTGAAGGACTTATCGCCTATAATCCTTGCAAATCCAAAGTCGCACAGCTTGATCTGGGGGAACTGTTGGGCCACACTCTGTAAATAGAAAAAAATGGGATGAGGGTTAAGTTTCAAGGAGAGCAGTTTCCTGCTCTTTTGACCATAGACAATTTCATTTGGTTGCACATAAACACGACGGCAATCTGTTCTTGTTTCTGTGGGGTGAAGCGACGTGGTATTTGTGCTGCTTTGGATGACATTTGAGTGGCCGTATTACTTACGGTCGGTGTAATCGCCTGCTCACTACCGCAACGTACGCTTGCTTATGCTGCCATTTTTAATGGCATAGGTGTTATCCGAGGTTCTTACACATCTTACCTGAGAAACTTCTGGGAGTCCCATATTATTCACATCTGTGTTAGGTGGTATAGCCAGTAGGACGTTTTCTGGCTTGAGATCACAATGTACTATGCTTCGCAGGTGGAGATATCGCAAAGCAACTAGTATTTGTGTCACCAGGTATTTCGTAACTCGTTCTGTCAGTCGACCTTGTGGCGATCCAAGGATCATTTCCAGCATGTCACCTGCTAGTTTTTCCATTACCACAAATACCTGAAGAATAAAATGTCCATACACAGACTCTGTTAGTGAATTGATTACGATGAGTTAACTAAATTAAATTTTCCGAAGCTTCGTGACCCCGAGTAAGCCGCTTCAGAGAAAAAAGAGTACATTAAGAAACCAAATCCAGTTTATTAGCTCACTCTACAGGTAGATGACCACGAGTTACATTATCACGTGGTCGCTCAAACTAACATTCAGAAGGGGTTATGGCTTGCGAACTAGAGGGCGAAATTCGAATTCCTCTGCCATTTAGCAAAGCAGATTCGAGACCAACAGCTGTGTAAGATACTATACTTAGAAGTAATGTCTAACCATTTGTAAAATCTCACTTGTCTCATCAATTATGAGTATCAAATAAATCTTACTGCATTCTGTCCTGGCTGCCTGCTGAATCTATATGTTCCTCTGTTCAGTCATATGTAAGTTTTGGACCGAACAATATGTCTTGATAGTAATATGTGCAGTGTACTTTTACTTCAGCCTATAGTATTTCTGAACTTTTTGTGTTTAGTTTTACAGATTTACTGAATGTATACTCACTGTAGAAATATCAATCGATCGGATGAGGCCGTACGGGTAGTGCAGAGATATATTAAGAGCCAAAATTTTATTATGAGTAATTGTTGTCATTATTGTCTTTGGTGTTTATCGGTTAACAAGGAGTTTATGTTTAGTGGTCATATGCAGAACTCATAACCAGGATAGGATTGTCTCATGGTTACCCTCCATAGTTTCGATTGCTCATCTTATTCACGTGACTGTACATATTAAGATATTCGCATGCAGCGCACATAAAATCGGTACATTTGTTTGCTATCCGTTAGGAATTTATCACAATGGCACTCAAAATTTCGATAACTTACGCGCTTTGGTGTTTCAAACATTCTTTCAAGATTTACCACTCCAGGGTGATTAAGATTCTATAAAACAACAATTAATAAAACGTTTAACATCCTCTAACATGTGATTAAATTTACAGAAAAACAAAATCATGAATAGAGATTAACTGCTTCAGGACATCACGAGTATCGAAGTCGAATATAGATTGCCTGTATGCCTTGACAAATTTAGATAACTGCTGAAAAGCCACTGGTCTCCTATTTTGTTTTAGCATGGGAACGGATGGCAGCAGGTACTGACGACAATAAGGATTCAACATGCCCTTCGTGGTAAATACGTTGTTCGGTTTGCATTTGTACCACAGTCCGCGATAATGCGCACCTACCGTCGGCGATACTTGTTTCATGCCTGCTATGGTTGAGCTTCAGTCACAACTTATCATTGGTAGTTCGCACATTTCCTCATGAGTAACTCGGTGAAGTTCTTCGTTTCGAGGTTTACATCACTGGCCGTTACATAAAAAATTAAGTTATGTTCATTACAACCCGATATCACTGCATAGATGTCTTACTTTGTATGTCCATATAAATATTTTGAGTAATTTCGTCACTCTACTAACAGCTTGACGTGGTCATCCACAAATTAAGATGTCAGATTACCAGCAAAGGAATTCGTCATTCATGAGATTTATTTGCGATATATATCATTCGATTTATAAGGAAGATATACTAGTTTGTAATCACGAAAATTAAATAACTGATTTCAGATAAGTAACTGGGTCATTCCCAATTGTGATGCAAATAATTAGTTGTGGTAAATGAACAAATGCAGTAAGATCAACATCATTTTATCGAACATTTTGGTACTGAACAGTGTGCATTCATCTGGTTCAAATTTCACTGTACTTCGATTGGGATAGCTGCGTAGTGTTCGTCAAATTTCTTATAACAAATGTTACTTTAAGCCAGATTTTATATATTCTTCACCATGTACAGTTTGTGTACTCGGTTTTAAGCCGCACTTTCGACCTGTTGGATAATGACAGTTGTATGTTGCTCAAACCAATATTTGTGTTACCTTCGCAGTTAATTGCTGCAAAAATGGGCTAACTTACTGATTGGCATCGATTTGATCATATAGTTATTCATTTGCCCTTGGCATACTAACCTTAATGTTAATTTTGAGAATATGCTGTACGGAATGGATTTTCAAATATTTTGACTTATAGAAAAAGATATTTGCAATCTGTAAAGTACTTGATGATTTTACAAATTTTATCATTCACTTAAATTGTTAATTGAGGCTATAGTCAAGTCACAATGAAGGTTACGTTGAACTATTAACCTGGTGGTCAATCTGTAGATTATCAGCTTTTAAATTGTAATTACGTTACTGAAAATACTGTATCCTATTTTTAAACAATGCAGATAGTGGATGTATGTAAGTTGTGCGAGTACACATCCAGAATTTTTATCTCCATACTCGACACCTCTTATACAAGTTGAAAACAAAATTCACAATCTTGCCCGTTTAACTCATCTACTACCATATACCATCGTTACTATACTTATAATTATGAATATTCCCCAAAGTTATTCTTATCAGATTTCTCGGCTCTTTAGCAACTGTAAATCTGTTCTATCTACCTAAAAATGTGATGAAACATTTTTTCTTTATTGATTTAGTGGAATACTGAATCAATTTAGTTCAGTGTTAATATAATGAGAAAGATCTTAATTCGTTGAAGAGTAAACGACTCACAAAATTGACATCCGATCGTTTTTACATTATGTAGTCGTACTTATTTTGTATTAATGTTTTCTAGATAAGCATTTATTACATAGAAAATCCGTTTTTACGTAACAGCTATTTTGTCTTCTGACATCAGTTTATTGAGGACATGCCTGTCAATCGATCAAATAGTATCGTTGGATATCACCTATCGAGAGCGGTTCAGTTCATTCATTCATTCAAACCTCGTTCAAATCATGAAGTTTTAATGTATAATAAATAGTGTTTTCATGTTTGTCACAGTTATGAATTGATAGCGTTTTTTCACTTGGCGGGCAATAAGTAAGCTTAGTAATCAATTTCCAATGTCATAGATTTGTGGATGGTCTATAAAATCCATGTCTAACACATTGATGTTGTGGATTTTAATCATGCTATGTTATGTCCAGAAATGTGACTCATCTCCCGAGTAAATGGTTTAAGTCATAGACTTGGTTTGAGGGCTAGTACTTTCGATCAGTTGTTCACACGAAAATAACTTGAGTCGGGATTGAACTTACAAACTACTGGTTAGAAAATAAATCTTTTAACTACAAGACATCTTATCACAACTAGACTAAAATGAAAATCAGTATAATCATTACTTTGGATGTATAAACTAACTTATGAAGTACTATTATATAATTTTATAAAATTATTATTATTATTATTAAATACTTACACGCAGAATGGATACTTCATTCTTTAGTTGCGCCTCTCTTTTAGTAGGGAATCGTAATTTGTCAATGACTTTAATGGCCACTTCACGTTTCGTCTTACGATGTATACCTATGAAAAAATGGATAATTTATCAATGGTATGGTTACACCTATATATATATATATATATATATATATATATATATATATATATATACATTTCAAGACTGATATTTATTGGATAACCATGAATCACTGAATGACTGATTCATCCCAACATTATAAATCGTTTGAATTATTATATAGTTGAATCAATCATCTTCGGGTCTCGAAATTCTTTGTAGTTATAGTAATGTAGTAAACTAATATTGAGTTATAAACCTACCAACTTAAAGAAAGTCAATGTAATAACAGTTAAAATGAATCATTTACTCAACTTGATAGTCTACTGTTTTGTAATTTATTCTAGATTTGTTTTATAGCTATTAAAAAAGATACTCATACGAGTTATTATGATAAATAAATAGTGGTTCTTCTGACCTTAAAAACCGTCAACAGTAATGATATCTGACTGTTGTAAACATATATAAATACCATTATTATTGTTTTCTAAATTAGATATTACCTCACTATTATTCGTAAACCAAAAATCGTTTTGAAATTAGTATATAAAAGTTACAACAAATATTTCTGGGCATAACTATCTATTGACTAAAAACAAGTTTATATATTTGGATGTGTACATCATGCAGGGTTCATGCACTTCAATGTAGTTTATTAAAAATAATCAATTTTGCTACTATCATATTTCTAATGTTTTCTATTACTGCTAATACTGTTACCGTTCACAGTACTACTCTAGCATATCGTTGTACTAATGTGATGTAGTAACTTGAAGTGATGAATGTTTGTGTTACGTTCCATATCATGTACAACCGACTAAGCAGTAACCAATGTTATCTCTGTCTAGACTTTAGTGCTGATCTAATTCTATTGATTAAATTGAAGTCTATCCACTAGTTCAAGTGACTTGACATCGATTGAACTATTTTATATCATATGGCTTCAGGTTAACAACAGAATCAAATTATAAGGTTGTTAAGTAGTCAACAAATTATCTGAGCAATTTTTAAATATTTCATGCATATCCTCGTGAATTGTACTGTCAAATGTTTGTTTATTAGTTATACAGTCTATTTATGACCAGTAACTGTCATATATTTTATTTTGTATAATCACTTTCTAAACGTTTCACTATAATAAATGTACAATCTGGCAATCATTGTAAAGATTTTCAAAAAATAGCTCGAACGGATGACCATGAGGTTGATGTATTCTCCAATCTGAATATGAAATTCTCATAACCTTTCTTGATAATATCATTCTTGAAGTATATCTCAATGATATTTCCCAGAAAACCAATGAATAATCCATTATCTAACCATTCCATGCAGAATACTATTTAATATTTATGTAAGCTGAAAGTTACCGAAAATCTAATAAATTATTAACTATTTATGACTTTACCAGGCTATAAGGATACAATTTTATCACCACTAACTCTCATCATAATGATAATTTATCACTCGGTGTGGAAATGATTAATTCAAAAACTGTACATTCATTCAAATAATTTTATGTATTAAAAGTACTAAATCAATTACAATTACATGTAATCGGTTATCTTGTATATATATTAATACCAGTGTTACACACCAAATATAGTATAGCAAGTTTAGGGCTATTAATTATATCTTTAATTTGATGGGATTTATCTCTATATGATTTCTGATGTATTTGAGACCATTTGTGTGTCTTACTGAATTCATGGCATTCACTAAATTCCTGAAGTATAATCATAAATTTAGTGAAGCAAAAGTCTAAATGGGTCATTAAAATATAGCTTATTAGTTACAGTACAACAAAATGTAAATTTTTATTGTGTATCTAGCCTTTAAACAACTTACAAATAGCTAGGATATTTTATTATTCAGAAGAATTTAGTGCATTATTAAATATGAAGTCTTACATCATGAGCTCATATTTGTTGAAGAACCATTGAAAACCAAGAACTACTGAACGGTTGGATAGCGCTCGTTCACAACCCTACTGGGGATCGAACCTAAGGCCTTTGGGTCCCAAGATCAGATCTTAAACTTCAAATCAATAGGTTAGCAACTCTAGTCGTGTCGTGAATGTGCAATGCCGAATAAGTCCATACTAGAATGAAATAATTATCCAGCGATTCAAGGACGAAATATTTCTCCAGTACTTACTGTTTTAAAATAGCTGTCCAACTAAGGTTGATTCGCAACTCAAAGAGTAAAATTCAGTAATCTCAAACCCCGTACACGTATTATTAATCCAAAAACTGGATACATTGATGATAAGATTACAGTTTGTATAGAAAAAAAGGGAATTATTGTTACAATATTGTTCTTTATGGATATTTACAACTTTGTTCAACCTACCTCCATAAACAATACCGAATTGTCCAGAGCCTAAAACTTCCTCTGGAAATATTTCATACAATGCTTGAACCTGTCAAAAAAATCAATAAACGCGGAAAATAGAAAAAGAATCTATGATGAAGTGCATAAGGATGCCGCGTTAACGTATTGAAATAATTCTAGAGCCTTTTCTCATCAATTCATTTGCTCTGTTTTCATTTAGAATTTATTTTATAGTGTATTCCATTAAAATCGACACTTTTTTTATCATAACAATTATGAGTTTCATTATTTTTGTTTTAGTATTTTACATTAATAGAATAGATGATGTAAGCGTTAAGTTACCAACTAAAAGTTTACTAGTTCACTGTACTTTTATTATGATAATCTGATGTGATAAAATTTCATTGAGATTTATGTGTTTATAATTGGTTGATTATTGCGTAGTAACTAATTTCATGTATATCATATCATTCTTAATGCTGATCAAATTCTTTAGATTAAGTTGCAGTTTGTCAACTGATCTAAATGACCTAATTTAAAATTACAGGTGAATCTTATTGAAGCGTTCGAAACAATATTAAAACTAAATCCAGGGTTTCTTGTAGACTACCTTTAATCATGTCACCAAGTTATATGTTATTCACGTACACACTTTGTTCAAGAGGGCGAGGACACACTGCAGCACACTGGCAGCACGAAAAAATGAAGAGAAATACCTGAAGGATGTATTTCAAAAGAACGGCTACCCAATCAACTTCATCAAAAAATACCAACTGCACGCAGCATCAGAACCCAAATCAAGCACAAAAATCAACAAAAGGATCACCCTACCGTATATACAAGGAATATCAGAAACCGCAACGAGACTGCTGAAAACCTTAGGGATAGGTGTGGCACACAAACCGACAAAATCACTACAATCTATCCTATGCAAACCAAAGGATGAAATAACAAAGGAAAACAAATCAAACATCATCTACAAAATAAATTGTGCCAACTGCGAAAAACACTACATCGGACAAAGCGGACACCTCCTTCACCTTCGCCTACATGAACATCAATTAGCACTCAAACGCCGTGATATCTCCTCACTTATATCAATACAGGTGAACAACTGCGGACACTCATTCGATTGGAAAAATGTGGAAATCTTAGACAGAGGAATCTCCAAAAACACCAGAGAATTTTCAGAAGCCTGGCACTCAGGTCAATCAGCAATCAACAGGCATATTGAAATCAATCCTATTTACCAACCAATCATGAAAATCATGCACAAATATAGGAACAAAAATCAAACCAATGGGAGACACGACCAAAACAAAGAAGTAAACAATGATAAATTTAAGGTCAATAAGAACCAATCAACATCAAGGTGCACAGAACAAGCTGTGAAACATATATGGAGAAATTTGAACATTTCACTTCTATCTGAAGTTTGTGCTGATGATGTCGTTCAGAAGAACGATGAAAGCTCCACGACCAAACCATCCAGCTCAGAGAAAAAAACTCCACCAAAAACAATATTAAAACGAAATCCAGGGTTTCTTGTAGACTACCTTTAATCATGTCACCAAGTTATATGTCATTCAAAAACCAAACAGCCTGTTACTTAGTTAATCAACATTTCTATATTCATGAAGAATAATAATAAAATCATTTTATCATCTACCACGATTTTCTTTTGACTAAACACCAACTGTACAGTTAAAATTATTTTTATTTTAAATTTCATATACATGAAGTTTTCAATGAAGTCAGTTTCATGGGTATACACACTTGTAAATATTTCAATAGATAAAATCTAGAAAATTTCTTCATCAGAAACTAAATTTAATAGGCAAACTTAAAGGTTGAAGTAAAGATTTATCAATAATGAAATAAAAAGTTAATGTATCATATGAGAACATCTATGAAATGAATAGTAGATCAAAGTCATATAATGAAAGAATACCCCAGATATACAGAATGATTACTTTTGACGCTTCAACAATATAATGATTCAGTTTAATTTCGTTCGAATAAGTCAACACAAATTTAGAGAATTAATTTGTTGAAAGAGCATGAGATTGAGATCATAAAATGTCCAATAACAAAGCTGAAGATCAATCTACCATTTTTCGTTGATCTGTCATACTATTTACCGTTCTTTAATATATCTTTCAAGTGATATTGTATTTATATCTGTAGAGGTACATGAACTCGTAAATGTGCTTCGAAATAGACTAGCAGATCAGATTTTTAGTTTCTCGGTACAAAAGCTGTTGATATGAGAATAGTTTGTAAGGACAGTGAAATGTCACAGAGAGCTAGCCAAATCATCCGGCAGTTGGGTCACTGAATATCGAACAGATCATTGATCCATGTCAAAGTCAAGCATAACCAACTCGCATCAGTTAGTCGTATGCCATAGACTGGCCAATGTGGTGGTGATCTCACTATTTTCTCTGTACTCATTCTTACTAATATATTTCCGTAATAACGTCCTTTGTGTTGTATGGTCTTCAAATCATCCATAGTACCTTGATACGACGAAGGGGTAATCCACGTTAGGTGCTGACTGTGAGGTGTGATTTCGACGTTAGCTTTCGGTCACATCATTCTCACTGATTCAAGTAGGCCCCCAATAATTCGACATAGATCATCTACTTTGGTGATCTACAAGTCATAGACTTGTAGCATAAATGTTTTCGTTAAAAGATTTGATCAACGATTTGCAACGTCATCTTTAAAATGGCCATCATTTAACTAACAAAACATACTTTTGGCAAATACTTATTTCGTATGTTATGCGTGTATACGGGATGTGTTTCACTTAATACTGATATAATGTAAGAATAAGTGGTTTATATACATATTTTTCTTATGTTGGCTAACATAAAAATTATCTTCTGAAGATGGATGACTAACCAAATAATTACAACTAGGACGCAAATTACAACAGGCAGTGTCATTACAATGTAGTTATGACAACAATTCATATTGATTCCAATAACTAATATGAATTTTATCTTTGTTATTTGTTAGGAAATAGGATAGTGGCCTAATGGTCAACATAGTTGAAGTCCCAATCCTGCTCCATCAACTTCTGTTTGGGAGACCATAAAATGTTCAACTTAATAGCAATTAAATAAACTCATCTCTTACAAATAAATTAATGTGATTCACTAGGGTTTTTGTTATCTAAATAGTGGTGCAGCAGAAATGAGCTTTGCTCTTCAGATTTAAGGCAGCCTGAATGATAACTCGTTCTCATGAAAACCAATGAAAAATTACCATTTTGGAGCGTATAGTTATAATGTATTAATTCTCTTAAAAGTAACTTTTGTGTAAATGGAGGGCACTTTATCATGTAGAAGCTGTTTATTTACAGTAACTCAATAAAGCTCATTCCACCAACCATGAAAGCAAAAGAACTGGATGTTTTTGAGGGATGAGCATAGGATTGTAAGGTTTTTTGTTTTCTAACAAACAACCACTAAATACATAAAACATGTGTCGGTCATAAATATTTGACCATCGATATCTATAAAACATTTCTCACGATGACAGCATTGGATAAGCAAGACCAACACTATGAGTACAGTAACAGACAAGGGAAGCACTTAAACTGTTTATGTTGTAAATCTTTAACAACTGGGTAGGCACTAAAACAATTGTATAGAATACTCAATCGCCAACTACTATGATTATCATTGAGTTATATATTTTTTTAAAAAACAAATGAAAGTATGACACCAACTCATGAATCTTTCAGTTTTTGGTTAAACTGTATACAGATGTAGGTTTCTTAAATCGTTTATGGTACTTCTAAGACCATTAGTTGACGATTTTAGGCGAGATGGCCGGTATCTACCACTCATCAGTATCAAATTCATGTTTTCATTTAAATTTCAAGTATTTTATTTATTTCAAGCTTATTTTTAGTAACTCACAACACATTAATATTATTAGTTTCACGGTTTTGCTTTTTCACTCTCTATCATCGATCTGATCTTTTGGGAGATTAAGCACTGATTGACCTGTGGTTGAGAGTACATAGGAATGATGTTCTCGACTATTGATCTATGAAGTATTACGCTGTTTATTTTTGTTTTTTTTTTCATGAAAAGATAAATGTTTCTAAAATAATTGATTATTTTTCTAGCTCGAGCTTAATTTCATAATCGTGTTACTAATTAAAACATTCTTTTTCTCATCGAACAAATTAATATGAATAAATACATACGTTGATCAGAAATGTTTGTTGCAATATGCATGTTGACTTTAAGAGATTACGATAACATGAAAGTAAGAAGTTACGTATAATATGTGCATACATTAGTAAGAATTACTTAATTCACATCGATTTTTTCACAGTTATGTTATACGAGATAGCTGGAAAACGAGTTGTTTTTAAAAGAACATATGGTAAATGATGTTGAAAGACGAATCAAGTTCCAGTTGAATTTGATCCGAACAATCTTCAGAATACTGAATTAGGGGTCTATCAGTTGAGTATAGTTCAAATCTTTAAATGAGTCTTAGGTACTTATTTGTTTTGAATAATTTATATGTACAAAAACAATTTGTCGTAACCTTGAATTTACCTTGGTAATCCTTAAGCCTAGGATAACGCGACAATTTCATATTCTTTCTCTCCCCTTAGTTATTTTAATTGGACTTCTATTTGTTTGACCTTTAGTATTTTCATATAAAAATACCCTGACAAGTATATGTGTGACCAGATTGTTCGAAATGTATAGCGTAAATATATCACATTTTTCAGATCAACTCCGTCTTCTCATTGTTCTATCGAAATTTATAAAACGGACTAATTGCTTTAAATTAGATTTACTAACAAGCATAAAAAGCTGTTCTGCTTAATAATCTGAAATTTTATAAAAGGATACAGAAGTTGGCACCTCCGAACTACTTTCAATGAAATTCAAAAGGCCGAAAATGATTAATAACAAGGTAAACATTTTCAACAAAGTTAGTCGTAAACTTAATTTTAAATAATTGAAAATGGTAAATCAAGTTAATGTGTCTAGTAGAACCCGCAAATGAGTTAATTACCCACTTCGTTCGCTGGAACCCTCAGTTAGTTTAAAGCATTTAAATTTGTAGGTGACCATATTACATAATATAGAATGGTTGATCTTATGATGGTTTAGTGTAAAAACCGTAGGATTGGTGACTGAAAATAGCTTATATGAGAGAGGAATTGATCAAAACTGAAGAAGTGGTTAATGATTTACAAATCACCGTTTTAACTTTACATCTAAGTTGGTTGTCTAGATTGAGGAATAACTCTTTGACTTAAGAGGAAAAGTGTCTAGGATTTATAAATATCGCTGGACTTACTAGGAAAACACTAGTGGTCGTTAATTACTTATAAGATTCGGATGATAAATTCCAATAAGTTGATTATATTCAGTAACTAATCAAAATGTGATACCTCGACCATAAACCAAATTCTGTGTTGGCAGTCGATCGCGTATCGTACACAGTAGCTAAGCTGGCAGACATAACACTTAATGGAACGTTAGTCAGTAAAAAAGATAACAACATTTAGACATACCAGATAAGTGTAATTTATTGTTTGGCAGAAATGGTTACTGATTCCGGCTGATAATGATTTTTAACAACTAATTAACACTAATAAATAAGAACTTTCGTCTAAATTTGAACGAATAGTTTCGCAATATTTGGGCACCGAGTTAATTTGAGACATTAAAAGAAGAAGATATTTGTAAAATCTCAGCGAATGAATTTTAAGTAAATCCAACGTTTCGCCTGGCAATCTGGTAATTAACACTAATACATCTCCACCTACTTATAAGTAGTTGATAGTTTTATGTAAAAAAAAATAAAGAATATTGTTAGACCTCGAGTTAACTGTTTATTAAATCCTGATAAAAGTGTTGGTCAAAAATATCTCTACATAGTTTAAACCAATCAAAGAATTAGAATAAACTTAACAAGAAATCAACAAGTGAGATATTAATTCAAATTGAAGTAGAAATAAAGAAAATAATATCAGATCAATTAAGTAATCTGATTCAATGAATCAATTTATTGGCTCAATATACAAACGAACTAAAAGTTATCAACTTTTAAATCATTAGTAAAATATTGAATGGATCAGCTATTAAACCATGTTTGTAATATGAATTCATATAAATGTTTATTATGAAATAATATTCTTATTAAATATAAACAAATCAATTTATTTAACATATGAAAAGAGCAAGAATAAAAGGATAAAATATAGTATGAACTTACATTATCACTAGGTTGTTTACTTTCAATAAAAGCACTTATTGAACTCCCTGTAAATAAATAAAGAAAGATGGAATAGGAATTGTCAACATGAGCTAATTTTAGCTTATTTAATAGTTTGTTTCATTTTAAAACAGTCAGTTATAAATTTTATAAACAATCCTAATTAAAAATGCTGAGATCAGTATCTAAATGTGAATAGATTTTTTTCTAAGAGTTATTAGGTTCATTTGGAAATAGTTTTCTATCATGGACTAATATTGTCCAACCACTCCTTAAAGGTCAAAGAGTACTGAATATCTATTTTGTTAGAGTTTGTGAGTTCTGAAAACTTCTCTATATATCAACATCTTTATATAAGATTATTGAATGAATATCACTTGATAGTAGCCGTATGTTAATGTTTTACTATCAGAGAATTCAACTGAACAATTCATTACATCTAACTGAAATCTTAGAAAATCTACGTCAGAGTTATTCATTTATAAATATACAATTATTATTTATTTGAGTAGTTCTAAAGAACATATAGTTTAATATAAAAAGGGATTAGTTTACGCAAGTTCCGTCGGTACTGATAATCTAGCGATAAACTTAATTACAGCGTAAACCTGGAAAGCTAATCTTATACTTACTAATCAGCATAATCTAAAATGTTGATGTGAAGTCATAACATATAACAAAGCGCGTTATTACTGCTCAGCATTACACCTTGTCCTGAGCTTATCATATAGATAGATGAATATTGTCTCTATATTTATTATAACTTATAAAATATTGCCTTCAAACTGGTAAAGCATCGTTTAGTGTACTTGAATTTTAATTTAAAAGTACTTCAAAAACATATTTCAAACCATGCTCTTGATGAAAACAGAAGCGCTACTGTATTAATAGATCGAGTGATATGTCTCTAATTTTAAAAAGTTGTTTTATGTAGATCTTCAACAAAATAACATCAGAAATCCTGAAATGAATTATATAGGAATCGCTTTGGAATACACAAAACTAGCTCACAATTGATAGCACCAAGTTGTCAGTTTATTTTGTAAAATGTATCTGCGAATATGTTAATGATAAGACATTTAAATATTTTTAGATTTTTAGTGTAGATTTACACTACTATATATTTAGTGAGTAGGTTTACCGCTACTAACCAAATTCTTAAAAATCTCACTAGTTGAAATCACGAGTCAATTGAAGCTAGACCACCATGGAAGACCTGGGAGCATTGAACGGCCGTTTCGTCCTAGTATGGGACCTCCCAGCAGTGCGCACCCACGATCCCGCCCCTTGTGAGCGCTTAACCATCAGACCATTGAGCCGGCATCCAACGACGTTAATTTCTAACTTCAACACCTTTGGATGCCGGCTCAATGGTCTATTGGTTAAGCGCTCGCGCGCGGGACTGGTAGGTCCCAAGTCTAAATCTCGCGGGGGGCGGGATCGTGGGTGCGCCCTGCTAGGGAGTTCCATACTAGGATGAAACGGCCGTCAAGTCGTTCCAGGTTTTCAATAGTGATCTAGCTTGTGAATTCAACTTTAAACATACCGCAATCTCCACAAATGCCCTGAAATTAATAGTAGATATATTAAAATATTTCTGAATAAGTATGAAAATGTTTACTTTGTCGAAAAAAATTTTTATATCTTTTACTTTAAATATTATAGGCAATTTTTCAATAATAAACTTTCAAATTGATTTACAGTGTCTGTTTTACCCAAAGTACTGAATAACAAAAGTGAATGGCCACATTATTTTGTCTGACATGCTTTTAGCGGCCAGTTGAACAATTTATCAATAAACATTAATTTCTAGACAAGATGTGGTTTAAACGGATAAATTTCACAGGCCCTCAATCTCTTCTAGAATGATTCTTTTTTTAAAAATATATTGTAAGAATACCGACCGACAGAATTTGACTATCACTGAAGGACTAGACATAAACAACATTGGTTACCACTCAGTAATCAACCAACTGATGATTTCTGTCGTACCGATGGTCAGTTGTTGCCCGATTAGCTAAGTGATAGTGTTTCATAGTCACTATCTGATGACAAGCCTTATAGTTTTTAGAGTGTGGTATTGCATAAGAGAATTTTGCTTTTCCCTTTTGTATGTAACAAGTTAAGAATACTGATAAGTAGCTACTTAACAGCAGTGATGCAATCAGATGTTATCTTTCCATAATTTAATTTCAGCAATAGATCTTATCAAATAATTTTGTATAGTATAATACATTAATTATGGATTTACAATTGTGGAGCTCGAAGAAAAAGCGATCGAAAACAATTATTCATTGAAATATTTTTTTTTTTTTGAACACTCTTGAAAAGGTCATATCGGAATTCTGTATTTCTTTGTTTCCATAGGCCAACAATTTAATGGAATAAATATCGATCATGTTTCTGGCAACTAATCGAATGAAAATTTCATTCTATCTTGATAATAATTCATGATTCTTGGATTCATTTAACGTTTTGCATAGTTTTGTATAAATTTAAAATTTCTATGAATTTAATACGATGTACATAGTGAAGTGATACAAAAGGAATATTGAAATCTGATATCAAGAAAAAAAGTATTTTTTTTATGCTATTCGTTGAAACAACAAAAAACCCATTTAATTGACGATGTCATTCTGACTTAACCATTTAAAAGATATATATTGTATGTCATTCTGTATTTTGTAATGATCATCAAATTCTATGCACTCAAGATCATAGTAAATTTTTAATTGAATTGAATAATGACTACAAATGGAATCAAAGTCGCAAATCTTGTTTTATTTTAAATTTTTCAGCTGGGTTCAGTACTTCCATGTTATGGTATATTTTGTTTCACGTTAGATAGTTCAGAGATATCAAAATAAAAACTAATGGTTTAAGGTAATTAGTTATGAATGGTCTTAATCATGATATGTTTTGAACCTTATGAAAATCTATAATCTGTCCAACCATTTAATATTCGTATAAATCTATTTGATAATAACAAATTTAATAGTTGAATTCATGAGTCATTTGAAGCTAGACCATCATGCAAAACCTGGAAGCACTTGGAGGCCATTTCGTCTTAGTATGAGACTTTTCAGCAGCGCTCATCCACGATCCCGCCCCATGGGAATCGAACTTGGGACCTATCAGTCTTGCGCACGAGCACTTAACCACTAAATCACAGAGTTGGTATCCAAAAGTGTTAATGCCGTCTAGTGCTTCCAGGTTTTCAATGATGGTTTAGCTTCAATTGATTCATGAATTCAACTATTAAATAATCAAAAATTAGAAAAAAAATTAGATTCAGAATCTCTACTGAACGCTTATTTTATCAAATTCAAGCTTTGCTTCTAGGCATGAAAAATATTTGAGTAATTTATTGTATAATATATTCAAACAATGACATATGTAAGAGTTTGTCTGCATATCTACTTTATATTGTTATTATAGTTCAGTTAATAAATGACTAAGATCCTTGACACAGCTATGAATTCATTAATCATTTTCTCTTCTATAAAAATTAAATTTATTCATTCAGTAAATTAATATTTCTGAGATATATGGTGTTGGTGAACAGTTGGGTATTAGTTTAACTCTTACCTGTACCATCATCATCTTCTTCAGCTTTTTCTAAATCTGATATTTCCGTAGTTTTTTCATCAACTTCTTCATTACAAATTTGTGGACACTGTGATATGTTGACTGGATCTTTACATATTGATGAATTACTTGCCATAAGTTTTGGTATAATAAATTTATTATTTGTAATTGATGAAGTCATGGATTTTTGTGCTCCATGAGTCTGTTCCAAGATTTCTTTATCTCCTTGTTGTTGCACTTTTTTTGTAGATTGATAATTTACATTGTTGATTGTAGTATTTTTCTGTGAACTTGTTCTTGAAGTTAAAGGTAGCATTGATTGACGTATAGCTGTTTCTAAATGTTTTGCTAAATCTAAACCAGTTCCTGGAGGTGGTGGAAGAATCGCTGCACGATAACAACCATCACTTATGGAATTTCTTGTATACAATTACCAGTCATTTGAGTTTTCATACATTGAGATAAATCAACTTTTAAGAAATTAGATGATTTCATATTTGTAGTCAATAATGATGATGATGATAACGGTGGCTGTGATGGTGGTTCAGGTAAATATACTAAACCATACAGTGGAGCAGAAGCTTTACGTACATAAGATACAGCTGATGGCAATGCTGGAAAATGTGATTTACGCCGAGAATGTAATTTAAACAATAATGAAGTATCATTTTCATTATCTAAACTTTCCATATAACCTAACTGACCAACATAATAAATTAAATCATCAACACAACGTAATTCAAACACATGATCTGGTATAATAGGTGAATTATCTAATTTTATATCGTTATTATTATTTTTAATTAACCTTGTAGTGAATTCATTAAGATTCAATAACTTTAAACGAGTTTCACAATCATTTATATTTTTATTAATAGTATTTGGACAATTATTTGTTGCGGCTATTGTAGTAGTAGTAGTAGTAGTAGCCTGAGAAGTGTTTGGATGACACCATGGATAAGGATTTGTACCAGCTGGTTCCAAACAAATGATATCGTTTAAATTAAGTTCCTATGAAAAACGAGAAGAAGAAAATGAAAGCAAAATATTTCATTATCTTCATTAATGTACGTTGGTTATATAAGTTAAAACAAAAGACAGAAATAACGACGCCACTATATATATATATATATATATATATATATATATATATATATATATATATATATATATATATATATTGTGAAGACATCCTATCTTGTATACGTCTAATAGAAATCTTGAAAGTGTATGTTTGTTTGCCTAGTGATAACAAAATAAAGTTGAGAATAATAACATAGATAGATGACGTTAGTGGTGAGATCTTGAATGTTCAATGGATATATATATATATATATATATATATATATATATATATATATAATTTCCCTTCGAGATTATAATTACGGTCTAACTTTTCATTCGGTATTTTAAGGTACACTACAGTGACATAAATATAACAGATAGTTGTAGATAATTCCAAACTCTTGAAACGAAATCTTTAGAAAAAAATTACACTACACTAGTCAGCACTCATTCATTCAAGGAATAGAAAAAATTTCCCGAAAGTGCTAGATATGGAATATTTATTGAACACTGAAGTTGTTGCAGATAACTGTAACCTAATTAAAATAACCATCAAAATTCGATCAAGGAATGCTATGTATGTGGATTTATAAGGAGAAAACTTAATGGAATATTGTGACATAATTCGATGATAAATATTAAATGAATTCCTGGAATTTTCAATGAGAATTTAATATTGTTAATTATAACTGTTAAGTTTAAAACGTTCCTCATAGTATAATAAATATTTTATTCAAAATCTTTTATCTGGAACATTCAGACATTAAGATATGTTTTTTAATCACAACATTTTAGATACTTTGACCATAAATGAAGTCACTTCTTAATTCACCTCATTTCACAAGCAAGTGACTATCGGGACTCAGTGGATAACGTGATGGCGTTTTAAGTGAACAGTACTGGGTTCTAGTCCCAGAGTAAATATCAACTCGTCTGATGAGTCCCAAATAGGACGAAGTGTGCGTCCTGGATTCCACTGTTAGCTACAATCCATTTTTGTTCACAGTTACTTTTTATTGTTGTACATTTTGTTTAAATATCATTTATAAAAAAATGCTATAAAGATTACTATATTATGAAAATTGTAATTTTGTGTTTGCTTAACAAATATTTAAGAAATATATTTTAGGGTAACCTAATTCAGGTAAGCTATACAGCAATAATTGATTAGCGCAACTATTAAAACGAAGTTGTACAATGCAAATAATTCAACTGTTTGATAACATGAGTTAACCCCCTAAATTATTGACATCTAAACAGCCATTTCCTATCAGTAATGACACATACCACTATAGTTCATGTAACAAAATTACTGACAACTTCAGTCTAATTGCGAAACTTGTCACTGAATCATCCTTTTATCTAACTTATTAAGATTATTAGAGTAGGGTTGAAGAGATTAGTAAATTTTATTTAGATTACGAACCGATCTAAGTTAAACAACACTGAAGATGTAAAGGCACCGGACAGCCGTTTCATTCTAGTGTGGAAATCTTCATTAGTTTTCAAAAACTACTCCGCAACCGGGAAAATAAACACTGAGCCGGGATCAAACGCTGTACAAGTTTAACCAGTATTCACACAATAATTTGGTAATACATGTTAAACAATAAAGTGAGCCCAAAAATAACATCCTCTATTGTTATGAAAGTTAAAAAGTTGACTACTTCTAAATACCTAATATTTAAATATAGTACAAGCAATGTTAGGTCATTTACACTTATGGCTACATTATAATTTGATCGATGGAATTCGGTCAGCATTAAATGTTAAACAAACACGATACTGGTTACTACTCGATGATTAATCGGTGCCAATAATTTATACTAACTTGGACTTCAGAGAGTTAGAGATATAAACTGACCACGTACTAAGAGTTGAATAGTTTGTAATTCCAGACTTAACAGTTGATCAGTTTGATGATTTGATTGTGAAATAACTTGTGAGAGTTTCCGTACGAAATTTTATATATAAGATAAGAGTTAGAGTTAAAGTGGAAATTACGTGTACTGATACTGTAAACTGTTAAGTAATTCATAACTCTCATAGTTTCCATCCTGGGTTGATCATAGTCAGACAACCGATGTAATTTCAGAAGCACTGGACAGCTGTTTCATACTATTATGGGAATTCTTAGCTAGATGCAACCACGACCCCAAATTGTCTCCAACTTTGGATCATTAATCCAGAGGAGAGCAATCAACTCCTGAACCGCTAAACAAACATCCAATGATGTATATGTCTAACTTCAGTCAGTTCGTAGTCTCGCGCAACCATCTTTCATTATCTTTGGCGAGTACATAATTATTTTTAATGTGGAGAGTTTATCGAGACAGCTGAACTCAGGACCTACAATCTTGAGTTTGTTTCTTGGTGGGATTATGAACGTGCGCCTCTAAGGAGTTTCATACTAATGTGAAGCATCTATCTGAAGCTTTCGAGTTTTCAATGGATTTCCAACTAAGATCAGCTAAGAAAATTCAACAATCACAACTTTCTTCTCCAATACTTGCAATCGTTTTATTTTAGTTTTCACTATACCATCAAAGAAATTACGATATGGAAAACTTTTTTTACCAATTATTTCAATCATTTTACAAGTAAAAGAGAAGAATAAAGCAAGTTGTTTGTCTGGGAAGAAAATGTTGTTTTCTTCTTCTTCTGTATCGTCTAAACAAGAGCATGTTGTAATAATAAGTTGCGATGAACACATCATCATTAAAGAGTGTGTTCTCTTCAATTAAACAATGAAACATGATTATATATACAAAGAATATAAATAGTTCAGTCCATTATTTAATAAAAATAAGTTTACCAAGTTACATTCTGTATATCAGTAGCAAAAACAAATGTGTTTTTTAAAAAACTACCTGTTTTCTATCTTCACGATTATAACAACTACAACAAGAACTATGAAAAAATCAGTTATTTATTCACAATGTTTAACAGAATAGTCTGAATAAAATAGGATTATTTGATAACAACAATCAACTCAATGGACTAGGTGATATATTGTGATAAGAGGTCAATTTACAGAAAAGATAAGTGGTAGACACAAAGATATATGTATGATGTAAGGTGGTGGTTGGAAGTAGTCGACAGAAAACAATCCTAGACTTAAGTTTCGTGTTATTTGTTACTCGTCAGTAAGGTGTACCTGTACTTGGTGGTTCCACTCTCATGTCACTCAGTCTTACAGTCAATTAGAAATACATCTCATTCCTTTACGAAGTCAGTTCTGTTCAGATGGCTCAATGGTAACGTCTTTGATTGCAAATCTGGGTGACAGGACGAATCCACCACGGAGCATTAGTTTTCTTAAGATTACAGATACAACTTACTAACCAGTGAAAAATAATACAAAACTTAAGTCAAGGAGGGTTTTCTGAGGATTATCCTCAACCATCACCTTGCATCTCAATATAGCGTACGCGATGTTGAATCATTTATACTAGCGGTTATATTACAACTTAATTGACAGAATTCTGTCAGTGCTAAGAAGGGCTTGACATACATGACATTCACCACTATCCGATGATCAATCAGTTGTAAATTTATGGATTAACTAGAAATAATGTGTATCTATTATATGTGATAAATATAGGTGACGTAAAACTAAGTGTGGTTTATTTTTCTGTACTTATCACAATAAATGATGATGGTATGATCATAAATATGAAATAAATAGTGGTTGATTTAAGTGCTTTTAAAAAGTATATAATTACCATATCCAGGTGTACGCTTTTTTATTAGAATATTTATTTAGTTTATTGTACATCATTTCCATATGAGATGTGACTAGTTGTATCCATGGGAAACAGTTTTGATTGGATATGGAGGTTTTATGATTTGTATGATTAGAAAATAATTTTGTTTCAAAACTAACGACACAAAAATAATGATCCCTGAAATTCCTTTGATTAACCATTGCAAAGAATCATACAGTGGCTTCCTCTTGTTCATCGATGATGCTTCTCAGTTATGTGATGGTTTCTACATCTACATTTAAACGCTAACCAGAAAAAATCTTATGACAATTATGTTACATCATTTATGTCCCACTTTTTAAAAATCATAGAACAAAATCATAATTCTAAAACGTGTAACAGATATATCAAAACATTCTAAGTGATATATTAATTTGGTTTTAGGAAGTTATCATCATAACTTTTTGGAGGGTATTGTATAAATAAATATATATTTATATAAATAATAAGATAATGAATAAGAATACAACTTACCTTGAAATAACGGTTTGTTTTCTCATGATAAAACATTGTTATTGATTTAGTCCCAAGACGCCAAAAATGTCGACGCAACTATAATTTTTAATAATAATAATAAACGAATAAAATCAATGTGAACGGATTTTGTATGCGAAGTTGATGTTAGTCATAAAAATCTACCATTCAGGTCATGGATAATATCTGTGAAATAGTAGAAATTTCGGCTCAGAAACTTATTCATAAACTTATGATCAATAATCTATTTATTAAGGTTACAATTATTGTTTCACTCATAAGGTATAACACCGTTGGATGCCGGCTCAGTGGTCTAGTTGGTTAAGCGCCTGGCGCTAGACTGATAGGTCCTGGGTTCGAGTCCCGCGGGGTGCAGGATCGTGCATGCGCACTGCTGAGGAGTCCCATACTAAGACGAGTTGGCCGTCCAGTGCTTCCAGGTTTCCATGGTGGTCCAGATTCCATTGACTCATGATTTCAACAAGTGAAAAAAAATTCCCAACGTATCCGTTAATAAAAGATTCATTGAAATATGGGGGTTGACATGACTAATATTTTATTTTGCATACTGATATTTCAACACTTCACACTTATGATCAGTTTCAAGCTAATAAAACTCGTCAAATTGTTTAATATATCATATACATAACCAAAAGTACATACTAATGAATTGGAACTATTGTGTTTAAATTTCAACTCTAAGTCTTGAGTTTAAATTGGGTAAGCAACTATAATATATTTATATTAATAAGTTATATTATTACTAAGAAGAAAAGAAATTTCACTGATTGAAATCATGAGTCAATTGAAGCTAGACCACCATGGAAAACCTAGAAGCACTGGACGGCCGTTTCATCCTAGTATGATTTCAATCAGTGACGTTTTAGGACTGAAATTGATCAGTCTCTTATTGGCATATGCGCATACTGTGAGTATGCCTCGATATTGTCTTAATTTACAAGCATTATAAGCAAAGATGGATAGTGGCTAGCAGTGGAATACAGGACGCACACTTCTTCCAATTTGGGACTCGTCAGCTGGATGTACCTGCATCTCAAAGTTGATGTTCACTCTGGGACTCAAACTCAGTACCGTTCGCTTCAAGCGCCATTGCGTTATCCACTTAGCTACTGAGTCTTGATAGTCACTTGCTTGTGCAATAGGCGTGAAGTTTAGTTCACTTGGTATTGTTTTACTTGAATCTTCCGATTGATGTTTTAGGACTGAAATTGATCAGTCCTGGACTCCATTGCTAGTCACTATCCATCTTTGCTTAGAAAGTTGTCTTTTGTATTTATTGTATAGGTTATTATTTCTTATTACTTCGGTAACGATTGCATAACTCAATCTCTTGATCATTTTTAATCCCTTTTACTTATTGATGAAACACTCATTTCATCTAATTACTGAAAATATTAGATAACCTTAACTACTTTGAAATAACACCTTTCTATATATAGACTACTTATTAAAAAAACAGTACAACAGTAATTCATTTTTACAAACTTTTACATTCAATACATGAATACGTTCGACTACCACTGAAAATTTTGTAGCACATTTCTATTTTGATGTAGACTACTGTATGTAGAAACTACTTATAAATACGATTGTAAAACATAGGAAAATGATGTCATTTAAGAAGACAATTTTCCAAGCTGAAACGTCTTCATCACGTAACTCCTTGTTACATTACTGAATTACGAGACCAATTGTTTATCTAAAGAATTTATGATTATTGCTATTAATATTTAATCTTCTATGTCTAACATATTATACTTCTGTTGGTCTTAATTAGAATGAAATAGTTTGTCTAAAAGTAAAAAGATACAATTATTAACAGTATCTATTTGTAAGTATAATCAGTACATTACACAAATAATCTAACAAAATAATAAGTCCAGTTTAAATACAATAAATTTTTCTTTTCAGAAGGGGTTTCGTGGAGATTTTAGTAATTTCAATAGTTGAAAACATAAGTCAATTGAAACTAGAACATCATGGAAAACCTGGAAGCACTGGACGGCCGTTTCGTTCTAGTATGGGACTCCTCAGCAGTGCTCATCCACGATCTTGCCTCACGAGATTCGAACCTGGGACCTATCAGTTTCGCGCACAAACGCTTAACCTCTAGACCACTGAGCTGGTGTTAATGTCTAACTTCAACTAATTCACGAAATTGAGTGACACATTCACCGTTGTCATCAATAAGATACTATCTCACAACAGACCCGATTGAACTCCATTGGTCACTGTTTGTCCCTAGAATTCCAGGAAATACCCCTTGGAGACAGTCACTAGTGAGTATATATTGGGTAATATCAGAAGAGTTTTTCCATGGTGGTCTAGCTTTAATTGACTTATGATTTCAACTATTGAAATTTTTTATTTATCATATTTCTATTGAAATCAATCTGTAATTACTTAGTAGGTTCTTTATAAACTTATTCTATTCAAATGAATAATTTCTAGAGACAACTGTCAGTTGTTATATTACCCACTGAACACTGATCTGAAAGTATATCATAATAAAAACTATCTACTTGTCAAATATAATTATCAGTGGTAAATAAATAAGAAGAGAATGAACATATTGTATCTATATATGTATTCACCAGTTTGGATGAAAAATGTAACCACCTATGTTGTAAATGTTATAAATGTAATCGCTCATAGTATTATTATTGCTGAGATTAAATGTTTATTGACTAAATTTTTAATATTCATTCATGCAATTATATTCATGGTGATTCTTGTATAAATCAATGTTAAAATGATCTATTGATCAATGTATACTCTTAATGAAAAATAAAACCGGAACAAGGTAATTAAGATTTGACCTCAATATACTAAAATTAATTTCTGAGTATAATCTTGAAAGAAACTAAGTGATTAATGAAAGAGGTAAAAGAATGGCTTTATTTTTTTCTCTACTCAAAAATGCTAAGATATATATTATTAAAGGATACAGAAAATTTGGTAGAAGGTCAAGTGGATGAACAAACTGATTATTCATGATTCTATACAAAAATGAACATTCGCAGATTAATATTACTTAAGTAACTTTATGGTGTATGCTACTTATGTCTATCGACATATGTAGTATGTAACACCAATCAGAAATGAAAAGCCTAGTAGTAAAATATTGCAAAGATTGAATTGAAAAGTGCGAGAATGTAAATAAAGAGTAATCGTAATGAAGTTTGAGATAAATGATGAAAGATTTGCAAATAAAGTATTTAATGTATGATTTTCACATTTTATGTAATTTTGCATCAAATAATGAATAGGACACACATTGAGGAAAGCACCCAACTGCGTCACACGACAAGCTCTCATATGGAATCCTGAAGGCCAAAGGAAAAAAGGAAGACCAAATAACACATTACGTCGGGAAATGGAGATGGACATGAGAAAAATGAACAAGAATTGAATGGAATTAGAAAAGAAGGCCCATGACAGAGTGGGTTGAAGAATGCTGGTCAGCAGCCTATGCTCCATTAGGAGTAACAGGCGTAAGTAAGTAAGTAAGCATCAAATGATGAATTGATTATCCTTACCTAATTGTTCGTTCAAAAAGAAGCTTACAACTCATTTCAGTTGATTCATGTTTCTCAATCAAGAAAACAAATTCAGATGACGTAATATTATAGAAATCACATTGTATACTAAATCACATTAAAAAGGAGACTATAATTTGTTTCAAAAAACAACAATCAACTTCCCTTAACGTTCTTGTCTTTTCTTTCAGTTTTTAATAAAGCCTATTAAACATATATTCATTAGTCAATGAGAAAGAAAAAAAGACTGTTTAACTTGAATAAGTTACTCTTATCAATAAAATAATAAAATAGTTTCACTTTGTCACGTAACTATTTACTTCAATATTAAGTAAGCTGTAGTATTTACCTATTCGAAATTAAAATAAGTATTATGTAGACAGGATCTTTATACGGATACATTAAAGTAAGAGCACCAGTTCCCTCAAGATTACAGGTACACCTTGCTGACGAGTGCCAAGGAGCACGAAACCCGGGTCCAGGGTTTCCTGTTGACTACCTCCAACCACCATCTAAATCTCAATACATAGTGCCCGCAGTGTCGAGTCACCTAGACTGGTGGCCACATTGCAACATGATCGATAGCATTCGATCTGCACTAATAAGGACTAGACAAGCATGACATTGATCACCACCCAGTGATCAATCAATTGTGAAGAAACTTTTGTTTAAATTTGAAAAAAAGCCGGGAATTTCTAAATCAGTATTTGTTTGATTTACTTATTCATTAAGTTACACTAATTAATCATTAGATTGTAATGAATATTGTGTATGATGGAATTCTATTCATTAATTGTGTATTTCGAAAATTTATTTTGATTGTACGTGGTTAGAAACAGTCTATAGGAAGCTATCAGTTTAAATTTTATACTGGTTGGAACTTTTCAGCATGAATCATCTTGAGGAGTGAGAGAATGAATGATTTCACAAAGATTTGGCCAAAATTCTAACTAAATTTTATAAGGGATCTGTTATAGGTTGAATAACTAAGTAGTGGCGTCTCTGACTATGAATTATTATGATGGTGGGTCTAGCTTCTGGGAGTACATAACTCCTCTTGGGAAGCAGGAATGTAGATAAACAATGTATAGACTATTCAAAAAGTGAGCTGTCTGAACTGATATGTTCTTATACAAAATGTATTATACATCATTGAAATCTGGAACACTTATTTATAAATCTGTAAAACAGCAAAAGCTTTCAGTAACCGTGGCATAAAGTCAGAATTTTGTTCACAGAGAAATAAATGTATATTCCTTGTTTTCACTATACAATAAGCCTATCAGTAATATAACCGTTTATTGTTCTTTCGTATTTGAATATACGTCTTTAACAATCTTTTCAATCCTGTTTGCTTTTGTACTATTGATTATTCGAGGGAGCACTTCATCTTATTCCTTAGAAACCATCATTTTTAATCCATAAAATAGAAATTAATTATTTTAACTAAATTATTATATTCACATTACAATGAGTTATTAGTTTGTTCGTTTTATTCCCGTTCTTAATTTATATTGTAGAAGTCATACAACCTTGTGTGGTAGTCATATACATTATATGACTAAGTCATATAATCTGACGTTTTCACTGCCTTCGTTTCCTAACGTAGTCGATTCCTTGATATATATATGTCATGAAAGCATGCTATGTATATTCCCATAAGAATCTTAAAGTAAACTAAAAACATGACATAAACATTTTGATAATTCACTCAAGATAGTTATCTGGAATGTTCAATCACATAGATAATATATATTTTAAACAATTTGAGAAATTAGGACTAAGTAAATAAAATAACAGTCAATTGAGTTTAAACAACTAGAATAGAGATTCACTAGGTTTACTTGAATCTTCCCATTGATGATGAAGACTGCAATTGATCAGTCTTTTATTGACATATGTGCATACTGTGCGTATTGTCTCGATATTGCCTTGATTCATAAGCATTATGAGCAATGATGGATAGTAGCTAGCAGTGGGATCCAGGAAGCGCGTTACTTCCAGCTGACGAGTCCCAAATAGGACGAAACACGCGTCCTGGATTCCACAGCTAGCCACTATCCATCTTCGCTTATAACTTTTCTATTTACAAATCCAAGTCGTGAATGATGTAACAGTTACGAGTAGATAATTAAAAAAGAGCTATTTAAAACCAGCTTGTTGTTACACCAGTAATGCTGATGAAAGCCCTTGAAATGGTTATATTAGATATTTTAATCCATATGAATTTAGTTATTAAACTATCTTAGAATATTGAAGATTATCAGACAACGTGTTTAGGCATTTCTTCTTAAAGTGAAAACGGACTGTGGCTAGCAGTGGAGTTCAGGATGCGTATTTCATTCCATTTTGAACTTATCATCTGGATGTACCTGTATCACAGAGTTGATGTTTACTCTGGGACATGAACCCAATGCTGTTCACTCCAAACACTATTGATTAATCATTTTTATGTAGAGCTGAACATTGTATTGCAGAAGTTACAATATATAATCTGATGTTGAACCAATTATTTTATAAGTTAGTCATTTATAATTGTTAAACAAGTTATTTAGAGATTCCAAGCTAAGATGTTCAATCACAAGTGACATCTCACTGATAATCAAAAAATACAAAATAAACTAATGGTAAAATAGATATGTATAGTAGGCATATTTCCATAGTTTCAGAAGCAGAAGCCTGTAATATTGCTTATTCTACGAATTAAATATTCTAAAGTACTATATATATATAAACGTAACAATGACATTCTTTTACTTACAACTGGATCCTTGTTAGTTCTATGAACCATCCAAGTTTCTCTAATGATTAAACTACTTCCAGAACGTTTAGTATGACGAACTGATTGAACTACACGCATTAATGGAATATTTCGTTGTCCACTAGAATTTATTTTAAAAATAACAAAATAATGATAAGCATAATTAATGACTTTAAAGCTATAATCCCCATTAAAATACATCCATGTTAATGATACTGAAAAAATAATAAATATTTTAGAAAAATTAAGTATTTAAAATGTAAACAATTATTTGACCAAAATCAATCATTATGATAAGAAATTGATAAATTTTGTTTATCAGAAGGGGTTTTGTGGAGATTTTAGTTATTTCAATGGTTGAAACCATAAGTCAATTGAAGCTAAACCTCCATGGAAAACCTGGAAGCACTAGACGACAGTGCGCATCCACGATCCCGCCCCCCACCATTAGATTCGAACCCAGGACCTACCGTCCGTTGCTTCTAAGTTTCCATGGTGGTCTAGTTTCAACTGACGCATGATTCCAACTATTGAAAATTTGTTTAGTTGACGTTTTTTTTCAAAGAAAAAATTGTTTTTTGTTCACTATAGAATGATTAATGCTTGTATTTGTAAAGAATGAAACAACGTGAAATCATATGCTTATTTATACTATAACATACTACCCTTATTGTCAAGTTTTAATTAAATTGGAGTTTTTTCTGTTTTATTTTCTTTTTAAAAAAAAACAAAATTAATATCTCTTTCAGTGGAATCCAGGACAGGGATTTAGTCCTGTTTGAGACACGTCAGCTGGATGTATCTGCAGCTCAGAGTTGATAATCACTCGGAGAATCGAACCCAGTACTGTTCACTTAAAGCGCTATCGCAATATCCATTTAGCCACTGAGTCCTGATAGCCACTTGCTTATGCAATGGGGTAAAGTTTAAATTCATAACGTATTGTTTAAGGCTATTAATTAAGGCTATATCGAGGCAATACACACAGTATGCACATATACCAATAAGGGACTGGATCAATCGCATCAGTGGGAAGATTCAAGTAAAAAAATGTCTAGTGAATTTAAATGTCTATTTCATTAATAACATATTTGTGAGCAAAGAATTCTATAATACCATCTTTATATAATGGTACAATGTTCAGAGTAAACTTTCATCATGACTTGAAACTCATCTTATATTGGATTTACAAACCATTTCAGCATTTTATAATCTATGTCACTGAAATGTATAGAAATTTAGTTAACTTTAAACAATCTATATAGTGCATTGTTTAACAGAATGCTCATTCTGACACTTCATCATTGTTTACTTAACAAAATTATTATTCTACTAGAAGTTTTACTTAGAGTAAAAAATTTATCAGTAGTTAGTGTTTCTAAAAAAAACAGATATTCGAATATTTATTATCTCTGGAATTTGAAATGTAGACACGTATCACAGTAAAACAACCTGTCCAGAATGTGAAATTAAGGTACCACTGACTTTAATGCAACTATTAGTTATCATTGAATAAAAATAAAGAGAATTCAGTGAAGAATTTTTTCTTTCGACGAAATCATTTACTCAAGCTGTACATTTATATTTATAATGGTGTGGTAAATATATGTCAATAGATGGATGGAAAACATTACATCATAAATTGATTTGAGCTTCCGATTGTCAAATGAGGTTGAGTAATAATTAAAAGGAATTAGAGAAGAATACCTATTTACTTACTTACTTACTCCAGTTATCCATCGTGAAGTAGCATAGGCCACTCACCAACATTCCCTATCCAACCCTGTCCCGAACAATCCATTCCAGTTCTCTCCAGTTCCTATTCATCCTTTATATGTCTGCTTCGAATTCTCGCTGTAGTCTATTCTCCAGACTTCCTCTTTTCCCTTTCCCTTCACAATTCTAGTTAGTAAGCGCTTGCCTCGTGATGCAGGTTGATGATTTCCTCAATTTATGTCCTATCCACTTTCAACGTATTTTCCTAATTCAGCTGGAATTGGGTTTGTCCTCTCCCACAGTAAGCTGTTGCTGATGGTTTCCAGTCAAAGTACACTGAGTATCTTACGTAGACGATTGCTTATAAGTACCTTTACATTTCGACGATGGTTGTTTCAGCCCCACACAGTGGAACTGTCTTGATGTTCATATTGAGCATTCTCACGTTGAAATGTTGTTTGTTTTATTATATTCATACAATTCTATTTTGATATGATAACCTAACTTCTCCTACTTTGTATAACTGGTTTTTTTACAATAAACCCATACGTATCAATCTGCACTACGATTGTTGTGCAGAAAGGGGGAGAGTGGACAGCCTTGCCCGACTCCGCTACTCACTTGGAATATATCTGTCAGATTTCTTCCATGCACCACTTTTCAGTGTAGTCCGTCGTATAAATGATATTGATAACCTTCTAAGGTACATCATAGTGTCGAAGAAATTTCCACAATGTTCCCCTATCCACACTGCCAAACGCCTTCTCATAGTCAATGAAGTTGATATATAGTGACAAGTTCCACTCAACTGATTGCTCAACGATGATCCGTAGTGTCACGATTTGGTCTGTGCACCACCGATCCTTACGGAATCCAGCCTGTTGATCTCGAAGTTGGGCGTCCACCGAGTCTTTCATCCAGTTCAGCAATGCTATTGAAAATCTTTTCTGGTACTGACAGTAGTGTGATGTCACTGTACTTCTCAAACTTACTGATGTTTCTTTTCTTGATGAGGTGTCCTACTTTCTAGTCCGTCGACATTTGTTATTCCTCCAAATCTTCCTGAATAGAACGTAAAGCATTCAAGCAGTTACTTTTACGTCTGACTCCAGAGCTTCAGCTGGTATATTTTCAAGTCCTGCTGCTCTGCCACTCTCGATTTGTTTGGTAGCCATCCTGATTTCTTCCGTCGTCTGTGGAGTGACATTGATAGGAAGGTCTGTGTGTGATGCTTCGATATTCGGCGTATTCAATGAAGCTGGTCTATTCAAGAGTTTCTCGAAGTGTTCTACCAATCTGTTCATCTATCATTGAATTTCAGTTGTTGTCTTGTCTTTTTGTACTTGACCGATCTCTCTGCTTCACCATATTTCCCCACCAGTTTCTTCGTCCTGTCAATACAGTTGTTTGATATTTTCTTGTCTTGCAACTTTTTCCGCTGCCGTTGCTAGCTCTTCCACGTCTTTCTGCTTGTCGGCTTTAATGCTCCTCTTCACTTGCTTGTTTGCTTCTATGTATTCAGCTAGTGCCTTGACTTTCTCTGTTCATGTTTGGCTGTTGTTAATTTCTGTCTTCTTGTGCATCCATTTTTAAATCTCGTCCAGAGTTCCTATAGAGATCCATTCCTTATTATGATGCTTATTGCGGCCGAGCTTCTCCAGATATGTTGGAGTTGATTCTTATTTGATCCCTTTCTAGTTGACATCCATTGTAGTTTCTTCTTCTTTTAGTAGACTCTTTGAGGCCTGGAATTTGTTGCTGAGAATTATCTTGAATTTGTTGAGTTTGTCGGTTTCTCGTAGGAAGGCTGTATGAAACCTTTGTGCTGCTGTTTTCCCAGCCGTCCAGTATTTCTTTAGCTTCAGTTTCATCTTGGTCACAACCAGGTGGGGATCTGAAGCAACTTTAACTCCTCTCCTGGTTCTCAAGTCTTCCATTGTCCTTCTGAATTTTTTATTGATGTAAAGATGATCGATCTGGTTCTGTGTAGTGTGATCCGGTGAGACACATATGGCTTTGTGTATGCCTTTGTGTGGGAATATTGTGCTGCCTATAACCAATTTGTTGAGTGCGCATAGGTTTGTAAATCTCTCACCATTTTCATTTCTCTTTCCCAGTTCACGTCATCCCATGATATCTTCCTATTCGGTATTGTCTATTCCGACTTGAGCATTTAGGTCTCCCATCAAGATGATGAATTCCTTTCTTGGGCACTTCGCTATGATTGGTTGCAGCCTCTCATAAAACTTATCCTTATTGTCGTTGTTGCTATCATTGGTTGATGCACAACACTCGACAACATTCATCATGATTCCCTCCCTTATTGTGAAGGATGCTTTGATGATCCAAGATCCGTGAGATTCCCATCCTATGAGTGCATTACATGCTTTTCTGGATAGCATCAGAGCAACTCCTTGAGTGTGTAGAGCATTTTCCTCACCGTGACCGGAGTACAGCAGCATCTCTCCCGTATCTAGCCTTTGCTGTCCAGCTTGGGTCCAACGGGTTTCCCTGGTTCCGAGAACCGCCACGTTGTATCTCCTCATTTCCGCTGCTATTTGACTAGTCCTCTCAGTCTTGGACATTGTCGGGACGTTTCATACACCTACATTAATTTTTGTTCTGGTTGTTAGAAGGAGCATCGGCCTCGTAACTTACGGAGAATTTCCGCTTTCCTTGTGAGGCGTGATAATTCTTTTTAACTCAGAGGACAGAGTTTAATTACTTTAATTTGTTTAATCTTGTTGGCGTTTTTTTAGCAAGATATTTTTCTACGAGATGGGGTTGCCGACCCCATACCCGACTCTCCTTCTTTGTGTGGACTCGTGACCAGCAATAAATCTAGAAAAGCTACAGGCAGAGTTATTAGAGAATAATATAAGGTTGAAATTAATTTACAGGTCAGAATTATTAAAGATAATTGCCCGATTGACAGATATTAAGAAAAAACGACAAAACATAAAGGTCGTAATAATAAAAACTGATTACTGTTTAAAATTACAACAAACCAATTTAAATAATCAAATAATAATAATATCCCAAACCATACCACAAAAGGGAATCGGGGTCAAGGAAGGTTGACAGGCCCGAAGTATCGTTTTTGCATTCAGAGTCTGGGCTTGAGTTGGTGGATCACCAACGCCTCATCAGTGCGTACGTTTTTTATTCGATCTCCTTTCGATCACTTTATATTACAATCTTTTCTATCGTTTTATAGACATATATTTATCACACAAATATAAATACGAATGTACAGCTTGAGCAAATGATTTCGTAGAAAAGAAAATCTCCACTGAATTCTCTTTATTTTAATTCATTGATACTGTGGTGTGTGCTACCTATATTGACATAAGTAGTATATGATGTTAGTCGTGAACAGAAGGTCTGGCAGCAGAGACACAAGACGATCGAACAGTAAAGAATGGAAACAGGATTCAATTTGTATGAAAATGCAAGAACAATGAAGTGTGAGTCATTTTGAGACAATTGGTGGACATTTTGCAAATTAAGCATTTACTATTTTATTGTTAGATTTCACTAACAAGTCCTGTAATTGTGTGTTGAATACATTCGATTGTCCCCACTTGTGTTCTGTTCACTACAATACAATGGGTTATTTCAGTTATGTTTTTATCAAATACGTACATTTTATTGGTGATATCTGGTCATACTAGTCGGCAGTATATACTGAAGTGGATGCAATTAGGTTCAAGCATTCAGCATATCACAAAATAAATCCATTTCCCTACAATATTTTGCCTATTGTTAATTATTTTGATTAACTACGGACTAGCAACTAATGTTATGTTTGTCTAGATCTTAGTGATAATTAAATTCAGTCGATCAATTTAAAATGTGACCGATATTCTAAATGACTCAATACTGTGCAGTTAGGAATAATCGTTAGAAAACGTGAAAGCTAGATTTTTTGTCATGTGGAATTCATTAAATAGGTATACCTATAAATATTGACGAAACTAACGCACACTGTGGGATTTAAACTAACATCACTCATTTGGTTTATTGAAATGTAACCACTGAGCTGTTTAAGCCGCCACTGACCGTCTGTGCTCTGTAAGTTATCATAAGAAAGCTATTTGTCTAGGTCTGGTGTTTATTTATTGGACAGCGTTAAATCAGTGAAACGGTTAGCTACTATTGGGTTTAATTTAATCTGACCGATGAAACTGAACAGTCGATATTGATAGTACCTCACGATTGACGTTATTTAATTGTATACCTAGAAGGTACAATAAACAGCAATTTATTTCTTCATAATGTTTAGAGCTTGCCCAGTTTAAGTCAGGCTCTGATGCAAACTATAACCTCAATATTCCTAATAATCTGTTTATACTTAGAACAATTATGTTGTTACTAATTTAAAGAATTTTTCTTAATGTCCTAGTGAGAAACTGTGAACAACAGGTTTCAAACATCTCAAGAGTGAAAAAGTCATCCCTAATGACCATAGATGGTATCCATACAATTACACAAGCAGAATGAAATTGAAAGCGTCGGCTACAAGAAGCCAGCCCATTGTACTATGATTGCAACAAAGCCTGAAGTTTATGGGTTCTGTCTACACTGACATAGCAGGTACGTGTTAATAAAGAGTCGCATATTAGTTTGAAAGAGATATCCGATTCTATTTCGCTTACAATAATTATCTTGTTAGATTGATTGGTGATACGAACACCAGATTGAATAACCTCTAAAAAACTCTCTTTAATAAATTAAGCCTTTTTATTAGTGATTAAGCAGTAAAACAATCAAATTCTTACCATAACAATGGATTAACCTTTACCAAAGGTCTTTCAATTGAACTCCTTAAATCAGTTGATAAGTTATGTAAATCCATTTGTAAATGAGTTGTTTGATCAACATTTTCATTACTCTGTGGATCGGTATCAGCTGATTTAACTAAATCATTAAATTTCATATCCGGTTCACATAGTTGTTTAATTTGATGTCGTGCACGAAAATGTGCTTTACGTTCTTCAATTGTTGACTGAATATTCTTTACATCAGTAGAATGAATTAATTTATTATCAGTGGAAGAATTTGATGAAGATAATAATTTTGATGCTGAAAGTGAAAATTTCAATTAATGAGTATATGGTAGATGTAGACTACTTAAAATTAAGTGTTCAACTAACTAACAAATCTTACTTCAGATCAAATTTTACTGTTTTCTCACTTGTTCTATATGTATATATGGTGAATCCTTCTCTTTCTAAAGGTTGATTTAAGGAACATCAAAATGTCTGAAGTAATATTAGATCAACTACCAATCACTTCGCAATTATTTACTCGTTTTCATGCAGTTCCTTTTTTATATCTTGGCCATATATATTTTAATGTTCTGATAAACCACGGTGGAGGGTTAATTTGGTAAGCACTGACGTTCAATCATGTCGGATATAAGACTGTTACTTATTAATATTATCCAGAAATTGGTTGGCGATTCTGTGTATTAATTAAACTTAGTCATGTAAATCATTTTATGACAGCTCAATAGTCCTATTGGGATCACAGATGGTCATTTATAGTGTTTTATACTAGAAAAAACTAACTATCCAGTATTTTGTAGTTTATCATGGTGATCTGACTGAAATCAGCCAATGATGTAAATTGTGAAAAAATGAATTTTTAAGAATTAACTTACTTGGCTCTACAAAATGTGGTTGAATTTCTGTCAGTTCATTTTTTGATGGTGAGCATAGATTTTCTTCAGTTACTTGTCTTTGTGTTGTATGTAAAAATCTGTTTTGTTTTTGATCGATTGATGGTGTTTCCGGTTGTTGTTGTTGTTCATTTGTAGTTTGAGAATTAATAGCACTAACTGTCTGTCCACGAAGAAATAAACGTTTTTTAAATTTACTTGGTCCACTTGATGACGATGATGTGGATGATAATGATGATGATAATGCCGTTGGATCTTGTACTCCTAACAATGTTGTTATTGATAGTGAGGATGAATTTCTTGATTGTGTATCTATAATAAAAGATCAGGAATTATGCAATTAACAAAGAATGTGGTAATTAATAACATTTTTGTGTTGTGCTTCATCTCTTTTCCTTAAAATAACTCACAATTTATTATGATAATATGTTGAATATATCTTTTGATATAGAACCATAGTTTGTTTTTTCATCGACATTTACACTAAGTTTACTCAGTGGGTCATTTTTTTTAACTAGAAACACCAATGAAATTAGAAAATTGATATAGGTAATTCATTAGAATAATTGCTAAACTCAGATATTGTAAACTGGTGTTAGTTGGTGTTATAACTTTCGGCCTTCTGCCCCTATCAATATGTGACGTAGTGATACCGCCAACTAGAGAACAGTGAATTATCAATCGGATCAATGACGCGTAAACCCGTACGAGCAGTCTAGAGTCTTTGCCAATCGTTCTTCCTGTCTAGCCCCGCCTGTTGAGTCCAGAACACCAGTCTCAGCCTCTGCAATATGAAACTTTATATTTCAAACATGCTGGGCTTCCATACAAACCAAACAGATCACACCGCATCAAAAAATAGACAACAACATTTGTACAAGATTTAATCAAATGTGGCTGTGAATAAGGAAGATAGTAATTGATAGGCAGGGCATAACTCAAGAATGGTAAATCGTATAATAATAGTTTATGGACCAAAATAAAGCTCATCATATGAGAAACATGAATATGTATACTTTAGTTACTTAACATTTATTCAATAAAACTACATGTATAGTATTAGTCCATAAATGGATTCCAACAGTTAGCATTCATTATTCGCATCATGATATATCAATTGAAATGTTTATAGAATACGACTCAAGTGATTTACTATCTCTCAAGAGTTATATTATTAATATAAGATGAATAATATCATGTATAACATACAGAGTTAATATCTTATAGTTTGTTACAAAACCTTAAATACAAATCCCTCAACGACACAGCATTTCGATCATTAAACACCTATTAACAACTATTGTATGATTACAGATTGAAATCATGAGTCAGTTGAAGCTAGACCACCATGGAAAACCGTCCAGTGCTTCCAGGTTTTCCATGGTGGTCTAGCTCCAACTGACTCATGATTTCGATCTGTGAAAATTTCTAAAATCTCCACAAACCCCTTCTGATATTGTATGATTAGTTTAATGTTTTTTCCAACTTTATAAAACTTACATTTTTTTACATTATCATTCTAAAGATGGTTATGACTTGATTGAAAATATATATTTACCTGTTAGACAACGTGCATCTACAAGTGTTGTATTGTGTAGTTATGTAATGCATTTTAACTTGTCGTCTTATTGTGTTTGATTTATCCTAATCCTAAAATATTTGAAACAATCATTGAATGATGATAGAGACAACAAGCCAATTCAAACATGAAACTTCCTTAAAAATTTATCTAAAATTACAAGTATAAATTTAGAACTATACAAGACTTTGTATTAAATTTATTGATCATTTATTCTTAACTAATATCATCTTTGTTTTGTTTCTCTTCACACTATATTCTGATAGGTTTTTGTCAATGAATTTGCTATGTTTTTGGACTAGTCGAAATGTTTTAACTCTGCATATTTGATATTAGGTGGTTGAGAATAGTCAGTAAGAAATTCTCAACTTTAGTTTTAGCTTAGTTGACATACGTGAGCAAGGCGTATCTGTAACCTTGAGGAATCTGACATGCGCTTATTCATACCACAGTCAAACAAATTGTCATCGAGCTATTTCAGAAGTTACTGATTTCCTATAAGACAGAAACGTTTACATGATTGTTATGTCCCGACAAGAATAATGAATGGTAACTTTTGGGATCCATTTATGGACCAATACTAAACATACATTTCTATTGTATAATTATTAAGTAACAAAACTATGTATACTCATATCTCTCTTATTATAAGCTTTATTTTGACCCATAAACTAATATTATACGACTTACCATTCTTGAGTTATACCTAGTATATTTATTACTACCTCCCTCATTCACAGCCACATCTGGCTAATCTTGTACAAATGCTGTTTCATATTTTATTGGTACGTTGTGGTCTATTTGATTAGTATATATATACTGATTTATATCGCAGAGGCCTAGATTGGTGTTCTGGACTTAACTGGCTGGTCTAGGCGGAAAGCAGAGCCAATCAGGAATCTAGACTGCTCGCACATATTTTATGTGTCATTGATCCGATCGATAAGTCACTGCTCTCTAATCGGCGGTCACAAGTTATAACAATGATTGACCGCTGTGTATTCGCTAATATCACGTTCGAATTCCATGAATCTAGTTTAAATATTGTCATCAATAATTTATCTAAAAGAGACTGCATTGGGAAGGTAATCATAGCAGAGATTAGAAAAATGAAACGCAAGGTGTACAATAAATAATTAGCGATCATTTAAAGAAAAGCAAATCATCAATAAGTTAGTGATAATGTAATTAATTTTAGCTCACATTCCATAATGGAAAGGAAAGTATGAAAAGTCTATTGAAAATCATTGAAGATAATGTAATTATTAATTTGTTTCTTTCCTTTTTTTGTTGTTGAATAAAAGTAATAAACACTTGTAATGGTAACCCAATAAAAAGAATGTAAACGTCTTATAGGAGAAACAAAATCACATGATCTTTGTTAGGTATGTAATTAGGGAACATATCAAAGCAAATTTCTTAAATGTTCCATATATACATATATAGATGATCCATTTATTCATAATGTGGAATAATCTATAAACTTATGATGATAATTATGATGATTTATCCTCTTGGCATCATCGTGACCTGTATATTCATTGTTACTAATAAAAAAATATATGATTGTATATATTCATTATCATTACTTTTCAGATCAATCTTTAATAGATCATTTATCTTTTAATTATTTATTGGTGACTTAAAAGATTTAGAATAAAGGGAAATCTGATAAAGGATATTTATATAGGTTTATTGATTAATTTTTTGATATGTGAAATAGGTCTTTTCACACTTGTTGTACATAGTAGTTAACTGTGAATATGCCTATAAAAAACTGTTATCATAAATCGATATTAGTTAAGTATTCAAACATTCATCAACTTTCAAACCGTATGATCATTGATTATTGTGTAAGTACCTTACTCACTGAAAGTCTTAGGTTTAATTACTTTCAAATCTCAGAGGAACGATGAAAACTTTCAAGGTAGGATGAACACAACTTTGTTCTTTTATTGATTTCCCTTGCTGATATCAATACACTGGAAAACTATCTTTGAATTAAAAAAAAAATCTCTCCAAACCACCAATGTAAATAGTATAATCTCGATTGACTGCACTGAAATGAGTTTTTAAGCAACATAAAGTTTATCGAATGTATACACTTGTTCTTTCTGATACAAATACATACTATGTAATAATTTCGTTAAGAGATAGAAAAATGAATACATACTAGATTCATGAATATTTATTTAACTATTATCTTTAAGATAACAACTGTTCTACAATTCTGAGACAATTCATTTTATACACATAGTTCTCTTTATTGTCTTGAAAAGAGCAAGAACAAAGATTCTAGCAGAATAGCAAGGATTCATTTTATTTTGTAGGTTCTCGTCAGCTGCTTACAGCTTGTGATATTTAAAATTATAATGACATAATGGGTTTAAATTACTTACATGTTTGGAAGTTATGTTGAAGACATATTAGTATAGTGTAGCAAGGGTGTAAGTAAAATTAATAGACTGAATATTGTAAGTATATACCGTGTGTGAAAAAACATTCTACAACATTAATTGTGACAACTGTTCAAACGGCTAGAAACAAGTGATTACATAATGAGTAAACACTGATAGAAATAAAATAAGTAGAGCTCAGTTGATAAATAAGATTATTAATATGGAAGACAGTTGAAATAAAACTTAATGATGTAATAAACGCAAGGAAGAGTTGAGAGAAAAAATTTTTAAGATGCAGCGAAGGAATAGCGTCACCAAAGCACCCGACCGTATCTGCGGTGGTCGGGCTTGCCTATCGTGATGACCCAACCGAGCTATATTGGCTGGAACATATGTTCCTGTAGGTTCTACCATGCCAGACAGGTCGATTTGAGAACGGTAAGACTAAAAGCAGCAACTCAAGGTCTGAGGGCGAAGTCGTACTGCTCACTGTAGTGGGATGTGACAGCAGTAAGGTGTTTCCCTCGGACAACCAGCATCTTCTCACAAGGAAGAAAGGGGTTAGAAAAGGTCGACTATAAAAATGTCACACCTCACTTCACCTCACGGATTTCCGTCTCCGGCGGTAAGGCCCTTTGAGGAATGGAGGTAACACATTAAAAACCTCTCACACAAAGGCCGTGCGCGAACGACCTCAAACAGTTGTCCCTTAGGCTCTGCGGTCACACTCCCAGGTCGTTAAGACCAACACTAATCCAATTTCCTTTTCATGTTCCTCAAGAAATACCCTCCCATGGTGTGAGAAGCCGGGAAATGATATCAGCCCTCATACCCGTAACAGCACACGAGACCAAGTTGGTCACATTCAAATCCTTCCTACATCTCCTAATACCTCTCTTATCTCCACGATTAACTCTTCTCACATCCCTTTATCACCTCGCACCACTATGGAAAACGATTCGAGTACGCGGGACGTTATTCCTGGTCTCCTGAAACCATGCTCTAAACTTTATGTTGGAGCTTATAACGTCCGAAGACTGTGCCAAATAGGAAAACAAGCTTGCTTAGCTAGGACCATAGAATCTCGCGCCATCGACATGTGCTGCGTCTCCGAAACGCGCATACAGGATCCGAGTAGCATCATTCATTTGACATCACCATGTCAAAACAAAGAACCAACTCGATTCACACTTCGTGTTTTTGAAAGCCCAGATGCCGCTTCTCGTGGTTTCGCCGGCGTGGGTATAGCATTGAGTCCTAAGGCAGAGCTAGCTCTCTTAGACTGGATCCCAGTAGACAGTCGTTTGTGCGTTGTCCTTGAGGCGGCATTCGAC